CACATGGGTACCCGCTCACACCCATATAATTAATTTTCTTGGTATATTTAATATTCTAAACAAATAATCTTATTTATGTTTGTGGAGACATCTCTAATTTTTTCTTTCTAATTGTGTAGAATGAAGTTGATGTTATCGAGTGGAGAGTGAAGAAACTTAATTAAAGGGAAGCATCTTTCAATTAATCATGTTATTTATGGATAATTTATGATTTGCTTCAATTTCCTTGAGTTTTCTAGATTGGTGTTGAACAATTTGTATAGTTAATTTGTGATTTGCTTGAATTTTCTTGAATGGTGTTTTATATATGGATAATTTGTATTGAGAGATTGAAATTTGACTGATTTTTTATAGGAACTTGTTATTGTAATTTTTTTACGACAAAACCCCGTGGGTATCCATGAACCCGCGGATACCCAACGGGTTGGGTTTGAGTTTTTCAAACCCAGTGAGTTTTACCCCAGGGTTTTTTTTTCACGGATAAACCCATGCGTTTGGGTTTGGCAAAACCTGACCCATTGTCATCCCTACTCACTACCTCAAATTAATAACTCGAGGACGAACCCCTCCAACCAAATCGTACATGACTCAGTTGCGAATATCCGGATCAAGAAGCGAAATACAATGATTAGTCAAAGAAAGCGAGTGGCCCTTCTGAGCAAGGCAATCTGCGAGGAAGTTGCCTTCTCTATAAATATGAATGGTACGAACCGTCCAATCCCGATGAAGGAGAGCAGGAAACTAAAAGACCAAAGAGGCACGATGGTGGGTCGGCTCGTCCTGACTAAGACAAAGGGCTACTACCGGCGACGAGTCTACCTATACTTCCACATGTCTTTGACCGAGGCGCCATGCAAGCTCAACACCCTCAATAGAGCCTCAGAGTTCTTCGGATGTGGTAACGGAACAACTTCCCATGTTCATGGCATAAGACCCTACAAACGACCCTGCGAATCTCGCATAACCCCTCCGGCTGCTGCTCTTCGGGAAGACGGTTAGAAAGATCTGTCGGAGTTAGCTGTGACCTATTCCTGCGATGTTGATTGGTCTCCACCCTACGACCACAATCGTACATGACTCAGTTGCGAATGTCCGGATCAAGAAGCGAAATACAATGATTAGTCAAAGAAAGCGAGTGGCCCTTCTGAGCAAGGCAATCTGCGAGGAAGTTGCCTTCTCTATAAATATGAATGGTACGAACCATCCAATCCCGATGAAGGAGAGCACGAAACTAAAAGACCAAAGAGGCACAATGGTGGGTCGGCTCGTCCTGGCTAAGACGAAGGGCTACTACCAGCTACGAGTCTACCTATTCCTCCACCTGTCTTTGACCGAGGCGCCATGCAAGCTCAACACCCTCAATAGAGCCTCAGAGTTCTTCGGCTCTGGTAACGGAACAACTTCCCATGTTCATGGTATAAGCACCCAACAAGCGACCCTGCGAATCTCGCACAACCCCTCAGGCTGCTGCTCGCCGGGAAGACGGTAAGAAAGATCCGTCGGAGTTAGCTGTGACCCATTCCTGCGATGTTGATTGGTCTTCACCCTACCACAATTTGACGTGACACCGTGGTCCCCAGATTGATAGAGCATAATGAAGAGTTGTTCGATATTTGAGAAAAATTAATTAATTAATTAAAATTTCCTCTCCTCTTTCTACTAGTGAGTGTTTCAACGTGAAAAAATTACTACTAAAAATATACAATTATTGAACCTCGTAGCGATTTTGATGGCTGTTATAGTAGTGTTTGTATAATGTTCCGCTATTATTTTCACGTAACTAGTAGCGATTTAACAATTTCTATTTAGTAACTATTGGTAATTTTTAGTAAGAATAATTATCATTAAAAAAAATAGGCAAAATACAGCAGTATATCCACAACTATCAGGTTTGTGACAAATATATCCATAACTATCGAAATACATGAAATATCCATTTCCATCCACTCCGTTAGTTAATTTGATGACTGGACAAACGGTGGATGCTTAGTTGGCGTGTTTCTGAACCCACTAAATGACGTGGATTAAAAGAGAAAAAAAATTTAGGCAAAATACAGTTGTATATCCACAACTATCAGGTTTGTTACAAATATATCCACAAATATCGAAGTATACGAAATATCCAAAAATCGGAAGGTTGTGTGACAAATCTCACCTGCAGCATAACTCAAAAGGAAACCAAACTTTACACCGTTATCTGTTAGACCTCGCAGCTGCAGTCTTCTCTGTTGGCGATTTGGTTAGATTCAAGCTTTTTTGTTTGAGATTCAAGATTGGTATCACCATGGCGCCGACTGCATGGAAGCCGTCGGAGTAAAAGGGAGGCAATGGTTGGGGATTGTGGTAGGGTTATTTGGGGGGTGGAGGCGTCGATCAGAAGAGGATCAGGGGTTATCGGGCGTGTTTCTGGGTTGGATTTTTAGTCTCGCCGTCTGTGGTTTTTAGGGTTAAAAAAAATCTCTTTTAATCCACGTCATTCAATGGGGTCAGAAACATGCCAACTAAGCATTCACTGTCTGTCCAGTCATCAAGTTAACTGACGGAGTTAACGGAGTGGACGGAAATGGATATTTCGTGTATTCCGATAGTTGTGGATATATTTGTCATAAACCTGAGAGTTGTGTATATATTTGTCTCAAACCTGATAATTGTGGATATACAGTTGTATTTTGCCTTTATTCAACTAGCCCATTTGGCATCTACGTGTAAAGTTTGGTTGCTTTTTGGCTTATGTGGTAGGTGATATGGCATCGATTCAACATTCCGTTAGTCAATTTAACGCCGTCTGACACGCCGTTATAGTTTCAGACGGAAGTGGATAGATTTGTCACACAACTTTCCGATTTTTGGATATTTCGTGTATTTCGATAGTTGTGGATATATTTGTCACAAACCTGATAGTTGTGGATATACAACTGTATTTTGCAAAAAAATACTACGTAAAGATAGTTTAGAGAATAAGTAATTAGTTAGTGACTAGTGCTTAGCCTATAATCTATAGAATGTAATTTCCTTGTTCAGTTACGTTACTTACGTATTACGAAATAATCAAAACAATTCAACATGTCATATCTCATCTATTCTCCTCCTCATCGTCTACATCCAATATCGATACGTCCATATATCACAGCTAGCCGATAACGATGCAGCCAACAAAAGTTTACCTTGAAAGAAGTTAAACCCAATAATGGATCAACTTGCAGCCTGACAAAGACGTAATCCAAGGTTGGACCAAAACAGAGAGAGAGAGAGAGATAACTCTAAGGCATTAATGCACGGTCCATACTTTTTCAATTGATGTTTCCTATTCTCATTTACTTGCACATGCATATGGCACTATGGTAGAGAAGATAGGGCCTTCTTCTTCTGCAATCTGCATCACTAGTTTGTTTCATTCAACCTCTCTATATAGATGCACGCTAACCCTGGCGTGCGCCCCTGTTCACACTTACTAACATTTTTAATTAATTATAATTAAATTAATAATTACTAAAAGTACAATTACAACTACCTTATTAATTTAATTTTAGTTACTATTTAGTCCCAAATTATTTTTTATCGTGATTATACTTAATTCAATCACATATATACCTACATAAAATTTTTAATACCGTAATTTTTAATAATATTGATTTATAACCCACAAATTTCTTATTGCAAAAGTAGTTCCATCTTTATTTGAAAGTTGTAAAATTCCATCCAAGTTGTTTTCGTTAATCATTTAGAATTTACCACTAAACCTGATGTTCATTTTTTTTATTTGACAAAGACTCCTCACAGAAGCACATACCATTCATCTCCTACGTACGGTCCTACCTCTTTTTACCATCTTCGTTCCCCATATGCCTTTCTCCTTCATCTTCGTCATTAGATCGAGCAAACTCATTCTTCGCCGTCCGAGGGAGTTGGAGAGGCCGGCGGCGATTAGGAGAGGATTTTGAATCGGAGATCTGCAAGGCGACAATCGCACCGGGTAATAGAACCAGTGGAGAGGGAAGACCGGATCTTGGTCACATCATCGTCGGGTCCCTGGCATCGCTGAATTCTTCTTACCGGTCGACGCCCTTGGAGTGCCGACTTCGCTGCAGTGGCCCGAATCCGAAGGCCGGCGTGGATTAGGAGAGAATTTCGAGTCGTACATCTGCTGGGCGAGAATCACGCCGGGAAAGAGAACCAGTGGAGAGGGAAGAACGGAGCTCGATGACATCATTGTCGCGTGCCCAGCAGCACTGGACTCTTCCTACCGGTCAAACCCCTTCGTGAGATTTCAAAGCGGAAAGTCTATTTCGTTAGCGACGGCCCAAATGGAACGGCCTACTGCTCCTTGACCGGAGCTGGAATCTCCGCCGGAAGCTCCTGCTTACCCTCCCCTAAAATCAAAGATCTGTTTATAAGATCAAACATCCAAACGTTGAACTAAAATAAAAGAAAGCTATGTATATTCCCTTTTGTCGGCTGGGGCCTGGGAGGAAGAAGCAGGGAAATGAGTTTATAACAAAATAAAATGGGAAATGATAGGCCTTGGAAGAAGCATAAATTTCTAATACTAAACACAAAATTTGAGTATTAAAAATTTTGATTTGAAAAAAGAAGGTATTCAAATTCATATAATCAAAAGTTAGATGATTGATTTTACCGTAATGAATGATAAAGATTGATGAGGGACTAAAACGTACACAATAACTGTTCCATGTATGTGGTTGTAATTTAAATTATCATTAATATTTAATTTACTTATAATTTAAATAAAAATATTTAATAATTATTTTTCAAGTGTGAATAGGGGCGTACGCAAAGGTTAGTGTACGCCCGGACGTACGCTAGCCTTTGCCATATATATATATATATATATATATATATATATATATATATATATAGTTCAGGCTAGCGGACGTCAGTCGTACATTGTAAGCCCGTCGAGTTTTACTATTTAGAGCACGAATTAACCAAAAATTTGGGCATGATACTATACACTAACCTCTAATGGGTGAACCTCAGTCCCTAATTCTCTAACCCAAGCCACAAGATTCATTTAATCTGAAAAATAATAACCGACGGTTCTAATTCAACGAAATATATTGAAATGCAAAAACCAAATGTGAACACAGACATACAACGTACGCCTGACGTACGATAGCCTTTGTCATATATATTTCTTAGTGAAGAATGAAGAGCAAGGATAGCATTATAAAAGAAACCCCAATTGTCTAGCCTGTGCAACAACAACAATGGCACCATCTGCCTCCAGACCAGCTTCACAGCTCAGGTTCATACAACACAAGCAGGAGGCATTTTGGTTCTACAGGTTCATCTCGATTTTGTACGACCAAGTGCTGAACCCTTGCCAATATACCGTGGCCATGAGGGAGGACGCCCTCGAGGCTGCCGATCTCAGCGACCGGAGCATGGTCGTGGTGGATGTCAGTGGCGGTACCGGTTTCACGACGGTGGGGATCGTGAAGCGCGTCGATGCAAAAAACGTAACCGTTTTGGACCAGTCGCCACACCAGCTGGTGAAAGCCATGTAGAAGGAGGCTCTGAAGGAGTGCAAGTTCTTGCTGGGCGATGCTGAGGACCTGCCCTTTCAGACTGATTATGCAGATAGATATACTTATGCTTGGATGTATTAATATTGGCTCTACATACTACACTGACTTGGCCCGATTCGATATGACTCTGAGTAGATCTTTTACCTAACTGATCAGTTTAAAGTTGAGCCATCTTTTAATCCTGTTAGGGTTAAGAAGAATCAGATCAACTTAAGATCGAGTCACTTTTTGGTCCTATAACCTATTACAACTACTAGTAATATCAAATTCCTTATACCAACATATTAGATATGTTTGTACAATTTTAGAAGTTTAGGTACTGTAATGCAAGATAAAAAAATAAAAAGGTACTAAAGTAAAATGTAACTTTATCCCAAAATTTATGGACCAATTTGCAAAGAATAAAGTTTAGGCACTAAATTGTAAGAAAATAAAAAAAATGTACATTTTCAAAAAATCAGTATGTTGATTTGAGCCGGCTCACTAGCTCGACGTCCCAAAGGGTCAGTCGGCAGGGGTCAAGAAGGAAATAGGGATGGAGCGGGCCAGTTTTATAAATAATTGACCCTTACAGGGTAAGAGGTAGGGGTGGGCATCCGGTTCGGTAAACCCGAACCGAACCGGACCGAAACCGAAATATCCTTGTTCGGTTCGGAAATCGGAAGGCAAAACCCACTATTTCGGAAATCAGGGTCTGCTCAACCGAACCCGATTTCCGATTTTCGAACCGACCGACCGAATTTACAGTCACAACCAAAGCCCACAATCCCCAAGCCCAAACAACCCAAGCCCACTACATTTATTTTCCCATTTCTCTGAAACCCTAGGAGTCTTGGCGGCGGAACTTCAAGATCAGCCAGCTTCAAGGCCCTGATTCCTTCTTCATTCTCTCCCACACCCGACCCTCCTACCAAAAAATCTCTCAGCTCTGCTCCTTCCCCCACCCGAGCCCCCACCGGCGGAGTTCAAGATCTGCCAGCTTCGACACCATCGCCCCAAAACCAAGATCTGCTTCATGCCATCGCTTCCTTCGAAGCTTCAACCAAATACAAACATGCAGCACAAAATCGATGAGGAGTAGAGGCGAAGGAGAAAAACAAACAAAAAATTCATGCATACTTAGATATTGAACCTTAAGAACCTCTAACCTTCATTGCCGGAGTCGTCACAATCATCGATGTCAATCGCCGTCGCCATCGCCGCTGGGTCGTTCTCTCCGTCAATCGCAATCGCCACCAGCCCCTGAGTTCTTTTCTCCATCAATCGCCAGAGACGGGAGTCGGGAGGAGAAATCACCATTGCCCACTGCTTTGTGCGCTGAGAAGTGAGAGAGAAGAAGAAGAAAGAGTGAGAGAAGAAGAAAGAGTGAGAGAGAGAGGGTCTGCACTTCTGCGCTGAGAATTGGTTCTACACTTCTGCGTTTTCTTTTGGTAGGTGGGGGTGAAAGAGAGTAAGTGGGGAGAGAGAGAGGGTCTTGCGTAGATGGAAAATGGGGAGAGGGTTAGTGGTGGGGACAGAGTGAGAGAGTTATTGTATGAAAATTCGGGTTTGGCCTCCGAACCGAGCCGAACCGAGCTATAATTCGGTTCGGACAAACCGAACCGAATTATAGCTCGGTTCGAATTCGGTCGAGTGATGCTATGGTTCGGAAATTCGGTGTATGTCAGTTCGGTTCGGTTCAAACGGAACCGACCGAACGCCCACCCCTAGTAAGAGGTAGGGATGGCAACAAAACCCGAACCCATGGGTACCCACCCGACCCAACCCGGTCAACGCGGGTAAAACCCGTGTTGACGGGTTTTGGGCCGGGTTCGGGTTTAAACCCGCTACACTATTCACCGGGTTGGGTTGGGTTTGGATTTAGGTAAACGCGCCCCATGGGTACCCACCCACACACATATAATTACTTTCCCGGTATATTTAATATTCTAAATAATATATCTTCCTTAAACAACTAATATTCTTTATGTTTGTGGAGACATGTATAATTTGTTCTTTCTAATTGTTTAGAATGAAGTTGATATTATGAAGTGGAGAGTGAAGAAACTTAGTTGAGGAGGAAGAAGTTTTCAATTATAGATGTTTATCTTTAATTTTGAACAATTTGTATTGATCATTTGCGGTTTGCTTATATGCTCTAGATTAGTGTTTTTTGTATGATTAATTTGTATGAGAAAATTGATGTTAAACTTTTACTTTGAAAGAAACTTGTTATTGTAAATTTTTTACCACAAAAATCCACGGGTACCCATGAACCCGCGGATACCCATGAACCCGCGGATACCCAGCATGTTGGGTTGGGTTTGAGTTTTTCAAACCCAACGGGTTTTACCCCGGATTTTTTTGGCGGATAAACCCATGGGTTTGACAAAACCCGCCCCAACCCGCCCCATTGCCATCCCTAGTAAGAGGGGCATGTTTCAGCCCTAGTTAGTCCCATGTTGGTAGAATGTTAATTACGGATCATGTACTACTCTTACATACCCCTCAAATGAAAGGCAACACACGGTTTTAAAGTTTGCTAAAAACAATCATATATATCTTGTGTTTAAATCAACTATCATATTGAGGGGTTGTGGAAATATGGACAAAACGACTACTTGGCAAAATAAAATTTACTAGATAATAAATCCATTATATAAAAAAAATATTATGTAATAAATCAGTTGGTTTCAATAATTCAAATCAAAGTTAACCATGTATCACTCGATCTGATCTTACAAAAATTCAAACTTAATTTTGAGGAAATATCTTTATATCATTATTGAGTACTGGCCCGAGCCACAACGCGGGATCAGAGAGGCATACAGATTACAGGGTGCTCAAGCAGGGTGGAAAAGCGTGGCTGATCGGCCCGGTTTATCCTACATTTTTGGCTCTCTGGCTTCTTTGCTGACACCTGGATGCTGTTCCCCAAGGAGGAAGAGTACATCGAGTAGTTCGGTTCACCAAGGCTGTGTTTGAGGATGTTCAGTTGAAGAGAATCGACCCAAAATGGTACCGCGGTGCTCGTCGGTTTGGGCTTGTCATCGGATGTGCTGTTACCGGCGTCAAACCTGTGCCTGGAGATTCTCCTCTGCAGGTAATAACAAGTCGATCGTCAACCTCTGGTTTTGACAGTATTTATTTTGTTGTTGGTAAATCAGAACTAGGTGGAAATCGTTGCAGCTTGGTCCGAAGGCCGAGGATGTGTCTAGGGCTGCAACTGCAAGCCCATTTGTGTTTCTGATGCGCTTCGTTCTAGGCACCATGGCAGCTATGGTTGGCTATTTGGTCCTGGATTGTTTGGTTTTACCCGAAACCGGACCGTATAACCGGGACCGAATAGCAAATAATCCAATCTCATATTCGGGCTTAGATTTGAAGTAAAAAACGGGATAAAGACCGGATAAGAGATCGCCAACACCTAAAATCAAGATCAAATTGGGACCGGACCGGGTCAAGGCCGGACCGAATCAAGACCGGACTGTATCCAATCCAATCTTTGGTCCTTATATTCCCAAAAAGATCGAACTGGAACCGGATCAATTTGGTCCAATTTAACCGGACCGGACCGTATAGCCACCCCTAATGGCGGCAATATATTATCTGTTGGTACCCATCTACATGTGGATCAAAGATGCAATTGTGCCCGGAGGTATGCCCATCTAATCTAAGGAGAAGAAGTGAAGCACCAGAAAGATGAAAACAGTTCGAGGAAGATTTGGTGGAGAATCATATGCTATATATGAATATTAAGTAATAATAGCATGGTATTTTGAATTCGATACAAGTTTTTTTTTTCTTTTTTCGGGAGAGCACAATACAATAAAAATACAGTTTCTATAATGATTTAAAATTCGAAATTCGAGTGTTCTCCCAACAGAAATGAAGTTACGCCTGCAGGGTCTTGTTTTAGCATGAGACATTCTTGTCTGATTCACTCGGTATTTTTGGCTAAATTATATATTCGCTTACTCAGTTTATCCATTTGTTTCAAGTTTATCATAAAAAAAGATCTCCATTGCTTGATAGTCAGTAACTTTACATTTTTGTTTCACTACATACGTACATGGGAAAATCTAAAACAATATACATTAGCATTAGCTAGGAAAGAGAGGTTTGCAGAGCTGGTTCAGCAAGCTCTGTTCCTGCTGCTGCAAATTTCAGTCATGGACCCAAGTTGGATATGAGAGCTTTAACCCTATAATATTTATTTGCATTCCGCCAATATGTCTCCTCCATCTTGCTGTTCAATGATATATGCTGCATAATTCATCAATTATTATCATAGGATGAGATGTCTCCCTTCTCCAAATGAATTGTCTCCTTGAAGTGATTGTAGTGGGACAGAATATGGTTGTGATAATTGAGTATTGCATATTAGCATTTAACATAGCTCGAGATTATGCAAGATCACCTTCAGTTAAACTCTAGTGATGGTTTCATTATAAAAACTGAACTTAAACATACGAACTCATTGACAATGTTCCCCTCTCACGATGTTCTCACCTCTCGTCATGGTTGTTAAATTGGTTGTGTGTCGGGTGGTACAATTGGATTCGACCAAATACCGGATACAAACTAGTATGAATACCCTCCATATGAGATGGTAGTCAAAAACTCAAAATTGGTAACCAGTGATCCAACTAGTATGACCGATCACTAAACAAAATGAAGTAGTTTTGGTGAATTTAAGTAACACAAAAAATGTTTATATAAGTATGTAGATTTGTCATTTTGTTTGTAATGTTGTATTCTCTTCAAAAATATAAATGTCGATGTTATTTGTTGGATTCAAATATAAATGTTTGGATGTTGATGTTAAAAATTGTATTTGAATTTGAGAATTTGTCATTTGATTGTAATGTTGTATTTTATTAAAATATGAAAGCATATTGTAGAGTCATTGTCTGGAGATATTCTATATTTATGATAGATACTAGATGTAATTAGGGATTGAGAAGAAGAATTGGAAGAATTGAAGGAAAACATAATTTGGTATTAGAGATTTAAAAAAAAAAAACTTAGGAATTGGGAGAGAAAAGAAGTTGAGATAAGGTATATAGGATTTCAACAATTGTTCTTCCTTAACTCCCAAAATAACATCGACCAATTTTTAAATAGTGTGTAACAAAATAATAACCAAACAATGATAACCCAAGTCTATGGCCCGTCCGCCCCAATCCACTCACAGGTAGGGGTTCAATCATTCTCACTCTTTGCGGAATCGACCTTGCTCTCTATCTCTTAACACAAACTTTCCCCATGGAGCCACGGTTGTTCTATACAAATATTAGGACGATGGATCTCACAACAAATGAACAAAACATTTTATTTATTTGTGATTATGTTTATACGAATACACTAATTTTCAAAAGAGCGGCGCTCAAAATTATCGACTAAACATTAACCAACGGTAAGTATCGTACGGTATGCACAAACCAAAATCCATAAAACCATATATCGTTGAGAGACAACAATTCTCTATCGGAAGCTAAAAAACTGAAGAGCTGGTGGGGAGACTTCATTAAATTAAATGTGCATCTGAATCAGCTAAGGCCTCGTTTAGTATTGTTGTCTGTTTTTGTTTCCTGTTGTGTTTTTAAAGATTGGAGAAATCAAGAAAAAAAAACATGTTTAGTTGGGTTCTATTTTCTGTTGTGAATCAGAGTTGCACAACAAGGCCCAAATATGAGAAACAACAATTTATTGCTTTGGATCTGATTTTAAAACATGTTGCACACGGGATTCCTACTGGTTGGGCACTTGATTTCATTAAACCAGACCAGTTTTCGAATCCCCACATAAGCAAATTTTTTTTTAACACAGCCGCCACCCCCCAAACCCTACTTCTAACATATCAGCCGCCACCCCCCAAACTATTCTCCCCCTAAACCCTTCTCAACAGAGGCGTCACCCGCCACCCTTCTCAACAAGGCGCCACCTCCGCCTCACCTCCGCCGCGCCGCCCGCCACCTCCTCAGTCGCCGACCCCTCCGCCTCCGCGCCCGACCCCTCCACCTCTGCGCCGATCCAGCCCGCCGCGCAACTCGATCCCTCCGCCGCGCAGCCAGCCCAGCCTGCCGACCCGCCGCCGACGTCCGCTTGCCGACCCCTCTGCCTCCGCGTCCGACCCCTCCTCCTCCCCGCTGACCCAGCCCGCCGCGCAGCCCGACCCCTCCGCCACGCAGCCAGCCCAGCCCGCTGACCCGCTGTCGACGACCCGCCTGCCGACCCGCCGCCGACCGGCCGCCGGCGCCAGTCTGCCCTGCCGCCGCCGACCACTTCCCCTCCACAAAAGCCTCACTCCATCTCCCCCGCAGCAGGTAACTTCGACTTCTTCAAAGTATTTTTAAGATTTATAGTAGTAACTAGACACGTTTTTGTTTCTTGTTTTCAGCTTTCATGATTTTTCAGATTTATCAACTAAACAGGTTTGTGTTTTCTGTTTTTTTCCTGTTGTGGTTGTACATCTGTTTACACAACATCACTGCAACCACAATAACAACAAAATGATACTAAACGGGCCCTAAGCATAAGAAACTGCTACTTCTACTATACTATAGTATTATCATCCTTTGTTGCATGTGGAGGCTGACGAAGAAGTACGTGCCTCAGAAATTAGTTGCGTCAACTGCAAACAATATTAAAACAATGATTACTACTCTACACTACCAACAAAAGAAACCACCACCATTAACACGCAAGTTAATTACCTCCCCCTGGAATCGAACGAAAATAGAGGAAAGCTTAGCATTATAGCCTGCTTCCGCGTTCACCTAATGAACACACATCCAGTCATTCCACCGTATTCACGAGAACATGAAACAAAACCTCAACTTATATCAAATACAGAAAAAGAATGGTTGTTGCTTCATGATGGATAGAGAGAACAGAATCGAACGAACAAGAGACTAACATGAGCACCATTAGAAATGTTACTCTGCTGCTGCAGATTTTGACGGTTTGTCGGGACACTGGACAATCCTTGCTGCAGTGCTGATGCAGCGGCAACACTGGCGACGGAGAGGTAATAGGCTGCTGCACAGGGGATAGCCTATTCTGTGGAAGACTAGACGTGGAAGCTGAATTCATCAGCCAAGGGGGTTGCAAGTTGGATCCCGTGGCTTGCATAGCATTTTGTTGAAGCTGTTGCTGTTGCAGTTGCTTAAGTTTCAGCAGCTGTTGCTGCCGCTGCTGCGTCACAGCCCCGGTTGCCCCTGCATCAGCTGTTGCTGTTGCTTAAGTTTCAGCAGTTGCGCCTGCATCATCTGTAAGTTTAGAGGGTTGCAAAACTTGTTTGACGGAACCTCTGTCGAACCAGTATCAACTGGGTTTTGAGCAGCATTAGACATGTTGTTCTGCATGCTAGCGTTTAGGCCAAAGACATTGACTGGAGTCTTGTTGATGCCAGAAACAGAAGTCAATGAAGAAGGTAAACTAGCAGAAGATTGAACTCCGGTAGAAGTTATAGTGCTCTGCAAGTTTGGAGATAAAAAACTGTTGCTGAGCTTCAGGTTGATTAGCCAGCAGCATAATGGGAAGTGAAAGCCCTTGGTTGTGAACTTGGGTATGCATACTTGGTGATGCTAACCAAGACCGGAAATACACAAGCACCAGATTAGAGAAACAACAAAACATGAACAATAGCAGGCATTAATTAGCCTAACCAGAAATATACTCCCAGAATGTTCTTTCCTGACACCATTTCCCCCTATTTTTAGGTTTTGATAAGGTTATACGTAACAAGTTGAAGATCATATTTGCATTCTCCCTATTATGACATAACCACTGTACAATAGAGGTAAAAGGCCATGCAGATTAAAAATCTCAGCATATATTCAGATAGCACTTTGAAATCCGTAGTACCTCCTGGCTCAGTCGGCTTCAAGCCAGTGCCTACAGAGTCAGGCAGCAGAGAACTGGATAAGGAAATCGGTGATTTGCCCTTCTTTGGGAGGATCTTCAAAGATATCTTGTGCATATAATCAGACTGCACAAACAAACAAGAATAAGAAATAAAACTAGTGCAACCTCCCATCTTATCTTTAAGATACAGTTATAGGCACAAAGTCCCCATCTTCCCTAAGCTCGTGACATCATGAACATTCATTACAACTTACAAGCATTGCTAGCCTTTAGAGAGATACCTCACTAGTTGCAGCAGCGTACATCTTTCCCTCAAACAGCTTAGCAATTATCTTCAGTTCTTGTAGCCCCTATGGACCAGAAAACTGTAGAGCCCTCTTTAGTGCCTCCATTCTGTGCCACAAGTTAACAACATTCGTAATGAATAGCCACGAGTAACGATAAATTGTATTTAGTTACAAAAGAACGAAAACCTAATCAAGAGGCAAAACACCTCTGAGAATTCATGGTTTTCCAAAACTCAAGTTTTAGTAAAACCTTCATTTTTAAAATCCACGAAGCAAACGACTAGTATCCCTGAGAATCAATAGAACCTCTCATAACCACACTACTTTCCGGAACAGTTTTCATATTTCATTCATCGAGCTATGATCGATTACTCTCGTGTTCAACTACCAGGCCCCATATCGTTGATTAAAATGGTTTCAGAATGCTGTAAGAACCAAAAGTACAAAGCAAAGCCTAGACCTAAAATTGATTGCTCAGTGTTGGGGGTATTACTAAAGGGGCCCAAGAAGAGCCCATTCAGGTGAAGGTAGCCCAAGGCAATGGGCCAGGAGAAGAAGCCCAGAATTGTTGGGGGCATTACTAAAGGGGCCCAAGAAGAGGCTATTCAGGTGAAAGTAGCCCAAGGCAACGGGCCAGGAGAAGAAGCCCGCAAAGCCCATTGCACTCCAGGCAACATAGGCATGGAGACAAAGCACTAAGGGCCAAAGAGGTCCAGGCTGGCAAGTGGTCCCCCGCCTGTGGGCGCCTACCAGCCGACAGAAGCCTGACAAGGTGGTTGGGGCTTCTAACAAAAGTGAAGGTACAAAGCATTTAATGAGATGGTGATGTGCAGGAGATCCCCCTCGAGCTCGGTGAGTATAAATAGGGACAGTTGGTAGCATTTACACAGGTTGGACTCTCTCACTAAAACTTATAGTTTCATACTTCTCTCTCTATAATTGGAACTAACTTGGGCGTCGGAGGATTAATGGGCCCAGGCTCCCCCCTCAGTGTGTGTGTGTGTAGGTCAGGGGCCTAAGGATTGGCTAGCAGGACCTAGGTGCCCCAAGGAGCGGGCTTCAAGGTGAGGCGCCTACAGGGCGTTAAGTAGGAATCGGGCGCTCAGAAGATCAGGCTCCAAGTGCGTGTGTGTAGGTCGGGCGCCTAAGGATTGGCTAGCAGGACCAAGGCGCACCAAGGAGCGGGCTTCAAGTGCGTGTGTAGGTCAGGCGCCTAAGGATTGGCTAGCGAGACCAAGGCGCCCCAAGGAGCGGGCTTCAAGTTGAGGCGCCTACAGGGCGTTAAGTAGGAATCGGGCGCTCAGAAGATCAGGCTCCAAGGTAAGGAGCATAAGGTGTGACCAGTAAGGCGAATTGTTTGGGCACAAACAATTGGCGCGCCATATAGGGGAATATAACCAAGAATCATGAGTGAGGAGGCGCCTATGAGTGAAGGGGGAGAGGATATTACGGAAGACCAGTCTGTGCGGATGCGAGGGCTGACGCCCGAGATGGACGAAGGTGAGGAGAGCGAGGGTATGTTTCGAGGGTCGGAAGGCCCCTCGGTCACAGAAAGAGAGTTGTTTTAGGATCATCAAAGATCAGGACGAGGCTATTAAGTCCATGCATGGGGGCCAACTTGAAGGCAAAATAAAAGCACCAAATGTTGGAATTCTACCCAGTACTTCAACAAATACAAATCAAGTCGCGACTCCCGTGTACTACAAATACAAGGGTAAGAGGTGGGTGCCTTATTTTACAAGAAATGCCTACATTATGTGAAACCGAAAGCATAAACTTCGTGGGATAAGCCCACCTATGCGCCTTCTACAACAACAACAACAAACCACAATTTGCCAAGGAAGATTATACATGGCGCCTCAATACCATAAGTCAAACGCCTACATCACCTGAGTTCAATCTCGAACTTGAAAATTCCTAGCAGGCGCCTAGCCTTGACCCTGTAGGAAGCATCAACTTGGGCTTCACCACACTCAAAACAAAGCTAAATTTGAAAGGCGCTTTAAGGAAAATTGGAAAGAGGGAGGCATTACGCCACTAGTCGGCATCGCCAAGTTGGAGGCGTAGTAGGCAGGGGCAAGAAGAAGATGAACATATGAGGCACTCATTGGAGATGAGAAAATAAAAAAAAAGAAGCGATAAGGCGTCCGATTGCCATCGAATAAATTTTATTGTAAAGTTGGGCGAGAAGAACCGAGAAGGAAGAGTGGTGGTGACGCTTGAGAAAATTCAAGTGGGAGAGGAAGAGGAAGCGCATGGCACAAAATAAAGAAGGGAAAAAGAGGCACTTTCAAAATTAAGAAAGAGAAGGCTTTGTGCCACGACTGATTGGCGTCGCAAAGCTAGAGGCACAATAGAGGGACATTTAGAAAGAAGGAAAAAGAGGCACCGAGTCCATCTACTCGACACAAGAAGCACTATATTCGTCGCATCATGACAGGCGACTCCAACCCAACATGGGCTTCAACATTGAATCAGGAGCCTATACTAGTGGACTACTATAAAATTCTCATTTCACCGGAGGCACCTATAATTAAAAGAGCATTTCAAGCTAGGCTAACGTCTGGGCACCCATCTCCTATTTGGGCTCGACGCCTCCCTATCTGGTTTAAAAGAGGCCCTAAGCGCCTAATTTCATTGAGGTTCCCATTTCATCTATGAGCCAGATGTCTTCTCCTATTTTTATCTTGAAATTTGGGAGCAAGTTTAAAGCCCAAAAGAAAGAGGCTTGTTAAGCCCAGGTGCTCGGTTCGAAGCCCAAGAGAGGTTGACACGACTTATTAAAGCCCAGATGCTCAGTTTAAAACAAAGGGCTAATAAAATGTCTGAGCGAAGCTTTGCACCTCATACCTTCTAAAGAAGAAGGGCGCCTACACCATCAGGCTAAGTTACAAGTTGTTGTATCTATTCGTATGCGTCATTATTTCACTTAGCAGCCTCGCAAGCGTTAGCATGGGCTTCGCCGCGGTTGGTATGAGCTTCAACACACTAAAACCAAGCTAAGTACTTTGTTTTTTCGTGAAATTTGGTGTTACCTCCATGATATATCGCTTTGTTTTGAAATGTTTGGTGCACCCAAATAAAATCTTTTGTTCGAAATACATAAAGCGCCCGAAATATAGCACCCTTGATTGGAAATACTATCCACGCCCAAATCTAGCGTCCTAATATTTGAAAGATCTCTAAGGGAGATGTAAAGCGCCCGTAATACACAAAGCTCCCCGCAATACCTAAAGCGCCCCGCAATACATAAACCGCCCAAAATACTCAAAGCGCCCGGAATATCAAAGTTGTCGAGATAGAATGTTACGTGGCACTCCAAGCCTCAAGTTTACACAATTGAAGGGAGGCATTTTATTGGCGTCTGTTTCGAGAGTAAGGATGTTGGGTCGTGTGTCTTGCAAAAGGAGGCGCCTGTCATGAGTTAGCAACGTAAGCAAAGGTCAGGCGCCTGTCACGAATGTGGCGATGAACGAGAGGAGGCATTTTGCAGACGCCTGTTTCGAAAGTAAGGATGTGGGGCGTGTGCCTTGCAAAGGGAGGCGCCTGTCATGAACAAGCAACATATGCAACGGTTGGGTGCCTGTCATGAATGTGACGATAAACGAGAGGGGGTATTTTGCAGGCGCCTGTTTCGAAAGTAAGGATGTGGGGCGTGTGCCTTGCAAATGGAGGCGCCTGTTTCGAAAGTAAGGATGTGGGGCGTGTGCCTTGCAAAGGGAGGCGCCTGTCATGAACGAGCAACGTATGCGACAGTCAGGCGCCTGTCATGAATGTGATGATGAACGAGAGGAGGCATTTTGCAGGCGCCTGTTTCGAAAGTAAGGATGTGGGGCGTGTGCCTTGCAAAGGGAGGCGCCTGTCATGAACGAGCAACGTATGCAACAGTCGGGCGCCTGTCATGAATGTGAAGATAAACAAGAGGGGGTATTTTGCAGGTGCCTATTTCGATAGTAAGGATGTGGGGCGTGTGCCTTGCAAAGGGAGGCGCCTGTCATGAACGAGCAACGTATGCAACAGTCAGGCACCTATCATGAATGTGACGATGAACGAGAGGGGACATTTTGCAGACGCCTGTTTTGAAAGTAAGGATGTGGGGCGTGTGCCTTGCAAAGGGAGGCGCCTGTCATGAACGAGCAACATATGCAACGGTCGGGCGTCTGTCATGAATGTGACGATGAACGAGAGGAGGCATTTTGCAGGCGCCTGTTTTGAAAGTAAGAATGTGGGGCGTGTGCCTTGCAAAGGGAGGCGCCTGTCATAAACGAGCAACGTATGCAACAGTCAGGCGCCTGTCATGAATGTGACGATAAACGAGAGGGGGTATTTTGCAGGCGCCTGTTTCGAAAGTAAGGATGTGGGGCGTGTGCCTTGCAAAGGGAGGCGCCTGTCATGAACGAGCAACGTATGCAACAGTCAGGCGTCTGTCATGAATGTGACGATGAACGAGAGGAGGCATTTTGCAGGCGCCTGTTTTGAAAGTAAGAATGTGGGGCGTGTGCCTTGCAAAGGGAGGCGCCTGTCATGAACGAGCAACGTATGCAACGGTCGGGCGCCTGTCATGAATGTGACGATGAACGAGAGGGGGTATTTTGCAGGCGCTTGTTTCGAAAGTAAGGATGTGGGGCTTGTGCCTTGCAAAGGGAGGCGCCTGTCATAAACGAGCAACGTATGCAACAGTCAGGCGCCTGTCATGAATGTGACGATAAACGAGAGGGGGTATTTTGCAGGCGCCTGTTTCGAAAGTAAGAATGTGGGACGTGTGCCTTGCAAAGGGAGATGCCTGTCATGAACGAGCAACGTATGCAACGGTCGGGCGTCTGTCATGAATGTGACGATGAACGAGAGTAGGCATTTTGCAGGCGCCTGTTTCGAAAGTAAGGATGTGGGGCGTGTGCCTTGCAAAGGGAGGCGCCTGTCATGAACAGGCAACGTATGCAACGGTCAGGCGCCCGTTATGAATAAGTCAATAAACGTGTGGGGGGCATTTAACAGACGCCTTTTCCAAAAAAGGCCTATCCAGAATGAGTCAATAAATTTGAGGGGGGCATTGAGCGGGCCCATTATCGAGGAGACTTGTGAGAAAAAGTCGATCAGAGAAAAAAGAGACCGGCGTACCACTGTGGAGGTAGTTAGGCACTCAAGATACCATGTGCTGAGCGCCTAACTGGGGGGCAATTGTTGGGGGGGTATTACAAAGGAACAAGTTCAAGTAAAAGCTCAATGTAGCTCATTGGAGCAGTGAAAAGCAAACCCCACATTTGGGCCCAGAAATGTGGGTAGGTCGAATTTGGGTAGCAAGGAGAGCATGCAACCCAGGCGCCTAGGTCCAGAAGGAGGAAAATCAATAATTAACAGGCGCATGATTCAATAAGACTGTGGCGCCTGTAATAAGGAAAGGGGGGCATTTACTGCGTAAGGACGAGACATCCCACTGAGCGAAGATGCGTGAAGCGCCTAAGTACGGAAAAGTTGCTCAGGAGAAAGCGCCCCACCTTGACAGAACCAGGCGCCTGTCACGAGACACAATGGGCGCCTTATTCTAGAGGTGAGACGAGACAGTATAGTCAGGCCCTCAAGCTTTGGGAACTTGAGAGCCTAACTGGGGGGCAATTGTTGGGGGTATTACAAAGAGGGCCCATTTGGTCACACGAGCGGGCGCCCGAGCGCAGGACGAGCGTTGAATGATGACAAGGACTCGGGGGCTAGAAAGTTAAACTTAGGCGGATAATTGTGCGTCCGCCAAGAATGAGTGGTGCATACTAAGCGTCCAAGCCAAGAGATCAGTTAGGCACTCAAGTAAGGGACTATGAGCGCCTAACTGGGGGGCAATTGTTGGGGCCTTGGGGGTATTACTAAAGGGGCCCAAGAAGAGCCCATTCAGGTGAAGGTAGCCCAAGGCAATGGGCCAGGAGAAGAAGCCCGAAATTGTTGGGGGCATTACTAAAGGGGCCCAAGAAGAGCCTATTCAGGTGAAAGTAGCCCAAGGCAATGGGCCAGGAGAAGAAGCCCGCAAAGCCCATTGCACTCCAGGCAGCATAGGCATGGAGACAAAGCACTAAGGGCCAAAGAGGTCCAGGCTGGCAAGTGGTCCCCCGCATGTGGGCGCCTGTCAGCCGACAGAAGCCTGACAAGGTGGTTGGGCCTTCTGACAGAAGTGAAGGTACAAAGCATTTAATGAGATGGTGATGTGTAGGAGATCCACCTCGAGCTCGGTGAGTATAAATAGGGACAGTTGGTAGCATTTACACAGGTTGGACTCTCTCACTAAAACTTATAGTTTCATATTTCTCTCTCTATAATTGGAACTAACTTGGGCGTCGGAGGATTAATGGGCCCAGGCGCCCCCCTCAGTGTGTGTGTGTGTGTGTGTAGGTCAGGCGCCTAAGGATTGACTAGCAGGATCAAGGCGCCCCAAGGAGCGGGCTTCAAGGTGAGGCGCCTACAGGGCGTTAAGTAGGAATCAGGCGCTCAGAAGATTAGGCTCCAAGGTAAGGAGCCTAAGGTGTGACCAGTAAGGCGAATTGTTTGGGCACAAACACTCAGCAACACAAAGGCATTCAACTCACATTTTCTCCACGTTTTTCGGCCGCAAGTCCACCTTCAATGTAGCTCTCCAGTCACCCCCATTCATCAGAGTAGCAGGGTTCAAGTTATTGCTGCCCATTCTAGATTACGTCTTTGCACAAACCACAACCAAAAAGAAGAAGGAAAAACAATAGTTACATTCTTAAATAATCAATCAATGAATCAATAGACTCCCCCATGTCCAAGCGCACCTTGAGAAACCAATACCACCAATTAGAAATAAACCCGAACATGGAACAAGCAACTTCATCCAATACTACAATTCGCACTATGCCCGTACGCCGACGGTTACGATCCAAGACGAACGTAGAATAAGCTTCAGTCGCTTTCGCTTAGTTAGCAAGTAACTAGAAATCGTAGAAGTTCAAAAACCGAATTCCTTAAAGCAGTTACAGCAAAGGAATAAGAAAATCGATACTAAGGAGGGTTTCAAAGCAAGAAAACCTAGATTTCCCTCGTTGATCGACTACGATACAATGATGAAAGCTTGTGATTCGACAGTCTAAATTCCCGACTCCGAAATCGGATTTTTCAGAGGAACTTATCAATACCTCTTACTCGACTGCGTTCGTTACAGGTCCGGAGTGGAGGCGGTTCCGCTGGGACTGGGAGAAACTTGCAGAAGAAAGTGTTGAGACAAACGATCAGAGCGAGATCATAACGCAAACGGTTGGAATTTATAGTGGCAATCAGAGAAATTTCGCGGTTCGTTATGATAGTGTAATTTGAACTCTGTAGGCCCACCTTTCGAGTAAGGTATTATATGGGCTGGGTTAGATCAGTTCTTTTGGGCCCAAAGCAGGCCTGATACTCGTCAGATAGAGCGTCTTCATTAGAGGGCTTGATCCATTGGTGTAAGAACCAAACCATATCAAAAGGTTGGGGGTAAGTACAAACACTAAATCAGTTACAATAATGGTTTGGTTTTTATTGGACAGTTAGAGATAGACCGCACAATTTTTAACAGTTTTACATGAAACCAAATGAACCACCCCTGTTTAAGTGGTCCACTATTTTAAACACAAAAACTTACAAAAAAAAATGTTAACGTAAACTAAAACCATATAACCTCAATCACTAATTTTATCTATGTTTTTTTATATTCCTCATCTCCTTGTCAAATTTATCTGGTTCACCAATGAATTGCCACTCTTATTGTCGATTTTAATTTAATGGAAAAATATTATTTCTTTTGTGTGATCGTTTGAATGGGTTTTAAATTTTTTTGGTGATGAATGATATATATTTATTTTTTTATGGTTAGTGATAAATTCACTTCTAAATTAGTGTATTATATATTTATTTATATTATATTTCATGAAGGATTTTATCAACAGTTAATCAACAATTGTACAACAATTAATTCTTGAATAACTTTTCCGATTAAACATGTGGTCTGGTTCGGAAAACATTGGCTAGATCCCAACTAGGACCAAGTAGTAAGTACCAATACCAACCAGGGATATAACAGTCAGGGTTCGACCTTAGCCCAATAGCCAGTTTGCCTAGTGGATTCAAATTTTTTTTATTATTATTTCATTATTTGTATGGTAATTAGTTTTTGAGTGTCAATGTAATCGGCTCTTTTTCAATCAATATAATATCCACTTGGGGGCTTAATTTGCACAGTTTTTGCATTGAAGTGTATTTTAAGATGATTTTTTGAGAGTACATTCATCTTTCTATTGCTTTACAATGAACACGTTTAACTTCAGAATTATTTTTACCTCAAAACACATATTGTCCGTTAAGATTGGATGTAAGGCAATTTTATGACGACTAACCCGTTGATGAAATGATTAGTAAAAGCTTAGTTTACAATCCACTATAACAATAAACTAAATAAAAAAACTCAATTAAAAAACCCCCAATATACTATCATGCTAACATTTAACATCATGCAAAGTACGCAAGTTTTCTGGACCTAGCTCATTTCATGACATCTATGTTCTTCAGCCGTCAAAACTCAAATGCGCCCTAAACCCCAAAACTTAGCAACCAACCCACTTTGGCAAAAACGCACGCAGTGGCTAAAAATATCGTTTTGAGTACAAAACCAATTCGTAACTCAATTATACGAAGAAGAAAAAAGAAACAAATCCAGACTTAAATGAGTAAACAAAATTCAACTTTGTTGTTGCTTCGTGAAAGGTTCACTTTTTGCCTTATACTAACCGCTTTAACTGCCCCAAGTTCTGTACCTCTTGAACAGTTGACGCAACATCGCCGGCATTTGAAAGAGAAGAAATGTCGGGTTTCACCTCGTTCACATCATCGATCTGATGCAGCGGCGGTGACATTTGCATTTCAGAAGAGGGGAGCTGTTGTCGCATACGCTTGCTGGGCCTATGCTCGTTCAAGAGAGCTATGATCTGCTTGTCGTAGGAATCAATCCACATCTTGTAACCGCGCAAGACGTTGTTTTTCGATACTTTTAGGAAAGACATCAAGCTCTCCACCTGAGCCTTGAGCACAGTTGAATCGTTATGCTGCAGTGCAAGTGAGTGATCATCAAGATACAGTGGCTAATCGACGAGGAATTGGTTGAACGATATGGAAGTAAGTAGTAACTTACGTGCTGTAACTTCCAATCGAATTTCTTGTACATTTCATTTAACTCGGGTAGGTACATTTCCTTCATGGTCTGGATCTGCAAAGGAAAAGATCAGTAAGGGAAATTTGTGGGATTCAGCTGTTGCCACTTTCAATGCAAAAGAGTAAACAGATAGGTAAACTCAGTATGCAAAACGTTACATCATGAACAACCTTTTGATAGGCTTCCTCTTGCCAATCACCTCCGTTTGCAGGACCAGTTTGTGCCATGGAATCTAGTGACGCTACAACAAAAACCATCTTTAGTCGGGATAATCAACTGGCACATCCATTCAGGGTATATACTGTGTTAGTCAAGTCACGCAAAGTGTTGAGGAATGAAATTACACATCCAAGGACAAACATATTTAATCATAAGCATTCTGCAGAAAAACTTTGCCCTACGTATGAGCAATTAGTTGTTGAGAGTTGCTTTCGATAATGTACATGAACATGTCAACAAACACACCGTAGAAGGTAGCTGTGTGGCCTGCTGCAGACATGAGAAATTACATCGGGAAAACAAATTGTTGCTGATGCTTACCAGAAAGGTTACTCTGCGTGCTTGGGATAGCAGACATGGTTCCAACAGGCTGTTGTTGCAGGATTAGCTGCTGCAGAATTGAGAAATTACTTTGAGGAATTGATTGTTGCTGATCTTTACCAAAAAGGCTACTCTGCATCCTGGAGTTACCAGAATGAGTTCCAGGCAGCCGCATCATTTGTGGAAGCTGATGGTTAACATAAAGGTTACTCCATGTAGGGGGCTGCAATTGAGTCATCTGCATAGTGCTTGCTTGAGGCTGCATATGTCGTTGAAGTTGTGAATGCATCAGCAGCTGTTGTTGGAGCTGTTGCAACTGGTCTTGGATGTGTATTAGCTGTTGTTGGAGCAGCATCAACAGCTGCGCATTGCCAAACATGTTGGATGGAACCCCTAGGGCCGTCGAAGTACTACCAGCTGGGTTTTGCACAACACCAGGCATGCTGTTAGCACTCTGGCCAACGACGTTGATTGGAGTATGATTCGTACCAGAAATAGGAGGCAAGGAAGACGGTGAACTAGCAGAAGTCTGAGATCCAGTGGAAGTTATAGTGCTTTGCAGGTTTTGAGATAACAACTTTTGTTGTACTTGAGGTTGATTAGCCGGCAATAGAATGGGAAGTGACTGAAGGGGTTGGATATTAGGCAATGCTGGTCAAGACCGAATATAAATCAGAAACCAAAAAGAGAGAAACAACAAATTACGAACAATAACGGCAGAACTTAGCCTAAACCTGAAATGTAATCGCACTAAGAATTCGGTATAGAGTATAAGAAGTTGATGATGATATTAGCATTCTCCCTGACATGATAAAATAACTATGCACTAGAAGTAAAAGGTCATGCAACTTAACAATATCGTTCTATACTAGAAAAGCACTGGAACTTCGTGTACCTCCTGGATCAGGCGGCTTACCACCAGTGCCAGCTGAGTTAGAAGGAAAATTATTTGGTATAGAGTTCTTTGATTTGCTCTCCATCGTGAGCATCTTCAAAGATATCTTGTGCAAATAATCAGACTAAGTAAACAAGAAAGAAAGAAAGAAAAACATAAAATTAGTGCATCATCGAGCTTATCTTAAAGGGTATAGTTGTAGGCACAAAATTTCCTTCTTCCATAAGCAATTGACTTCATGAATATATTCTACAAGAATCACTAGTCTTTGATGAGATACCAGACTAGTTGCAACATTATAAATCTTTTCCTCAAATCGTCCTGCGATTTTCTTCAGTTCTTGTAGCGCATCTTGACCAGAACAAGGTAAATTCCTCGTTAACGTCTCCATTCTGTGTCATAAGTTAGCCGCATTCATAATTAGTGACCGACGAGGATAAAGATATTTAGTTACAAACAAAGCACTAATCGGGAGGTAAAACCTCAAGTTGTTACCAAAGTCTTCATCCAGTTCTAGTTCATTACTCACATTCATACTTGTGTACGCAGACATCCCTTCCATCAGCTCTACGTGTTTGGGGATTAAGGCATATGACACTATCAGAAAAGAGCAGTACTCACTCAATCCAGAGAGTCTTGAACCAACCGATCTAGTCAGACTGTCCACTTGCTATACATACGAAAACACCTTAGGTTCAAGACAAAGACAAGGGTAGTCTACTTGGTTTGGCTAAGGGATAAGAGCGTATGGTAGTACGTAATTCCCCCAATTGCGGATGGTAAATTCCCCAAGTAGTGACCAACGAGGTGTAACAAATTTTCCTCACTGACTTCATTGTCCGGTGGCAAATCCGAGCTCCCAAGCCTGCGCTTTGCGCTGTTTCACGGATTTAGAGACTGGGAAACCACCCAAACCAACTCACCTTTCACACCTGATTCTTCTAAGTTGTGACACCAATCCAAATTTATTTATCTGGTTCTCTCATCAAGACGTAGCCAAATGTTCGTGCCCGAAATACATTCATAGAGCTACAATCAACTACGTGCATGTTTCATCCTTTGGTCGGCTCAGTTTATCATAAGGTCTCGCAGGAATATAAAATAAAACAAAAAACACATGTAATGCACAAAAGCAAAAGCTTAACCAGAATAGCAATAATCACTAAGCAGCAGAAAAGCATTCAACTCACATTTTGCAGGTGATCCTTTCCCGAGACTGTGGCGTCAATACAGCTCTCCAGTCCGCAGCAGCTTCTTCACAAAGATCAGTGGGCTTATCCCCGGTGTCAGCAGAGTTAGACAGCAAAGAATTGGGCATAGAATTCTGTGAATTGCCCACCATTGCGATCATCTTCAAAGAAATCTTGCGCAAATAATCAGACTACATTAACAACCAAGGATAAACACAAAATTAGTGCATCATTGATCCTATCCGCTAGGTACAGTTATGGGCACAAAGGTCCTTCTTCCATAAGGACATGATTTCCTGAAGCTGTCTTACAACCATCACTGGCCCTAAGAGAGAAACCTGACTAGTTGCATCACTATAAACCGTCTCTTCAAATTGTTCAGCAATGTTCTTCAGTGCTTGCAGCCCTTTAGCACCAGAACATGGTAGATGCTGCTTTAATGTCTCCATTCTGTGGCATAAGTTATCCATATACTGTCAGGGACCAACGATGATAGAAGTATTGAGTTCCATCGTCTAACAAACCAAAGCTTAATTAGAATGGCAAGAATCACTCAGCAGCAGAAAAAGGAAAAATGTTCGACTCACAGTTTGTCGACGATCCTTTGCCGAGACTCCGGCTGCAGAGTAGCTTTCCAGCCACCCTCACCGACCGGAGCTTCTTTCCCGTGATCAGCAGCAGGATTCAAATCATCGCCAGCCATAATAAAAGAGTGTATCGCCCTCCTTTGCACAGACAACGCAAAAAAGAAAAGAAAAATCAGTTGCTTTCATGAATCACTCAATCGATTCTCCCCTGTCCAAGCACATCTTGAGAAACCCTAAACACCAATTACGGATAACCTGAACTTCGCACTAACAATTTCATTCACTACTACTCTTAATCTATTACCACTACGCCATCGATTACGATCCACTGACGACGAAATCCAGAATGAAGCGTCTGGAGCTCAATTTGCAGGGCAAGTATCCGTTAACGAATCACATTAGCACGTACAATACAATGGATGAACAGAAGCCGATTGCCTAGGAGTAACAGCTACTATATATGGCACCGTTATAAAAGCTTGCGATTGGACAGTTAAGAATTTCCGACTAGAAATTGTGAAGAGACTGATCAAATACCTCCGGCCAGATTTTCGATCGTTGCGGTTTCCAGCGACGAGGTTTCGCCATAAATTTGCAGAAGAAAGCATTTAAACTATGCGGGAGAGAGATGAATCAGAGAAATTTTCGCGGTTCAGTTATTAAGGTATTTCTTGAATTTTTTTAGTAATAATTCGAATGTTGGAGGTGTTGTTTTTCAAGTTATAATGGGCCGGACTGAAACAGAAAATTGTAGGCCAAGTGAGTGGGCCCAGAGTGCGAGATGGCAGACTAACCAAAACCGATGCTCGGCTTTTTCAGCCTCAAGAGAATGGTATAAGACCTCTAAAAGTTCATATTCTAAAAAACTTGGAAAATATTTTTGTTTAACATCAAAGTAAAAATTCAAATTTTTTTAAAAATAAACTAAGTATGCTTATCATATTTTAATATTTTTAAAAAATAAATTAAAATAAAAAAGTATATTATTTAATAATAATAAATTTAACAAGATCCATTTGACTTCTTTTTATTGTTTAGAATCTTCCTTCCTTCTTAGTCATTTTACATAACGTCTTATATCAAAAACACTTTTAATAATTTTTCAGTCAAACACTAAACTACTTTTTTGAAAAAATACTTCTCTAAAAACTCTAACCAGAGGCTACTTCTTCAAAAGTTAAAGTATGACCAAACCAGCCCATAACCTTTCGATTGTTAGTTAGAATCCATTTTGCCTCTATTTTGTCCCGTGTTGGCTGTGGTGTGGTATGATTGGATAAGCTTTAATAGTGTGATGAGATAATTGGTGTTGTTATTGTTAACCGTGAGTCTGTGACGGATGGAGCCAGAAAATTGGCTAACGAGTATCTTTTTTCATACTAATAAAAATTAACTACATAAACTTAAAACAAAATAAAAATTCAACGACGTAATAATAGTCATATAGTTACAAAATAAGTAGTTTGCTACACATCGCTTACAACAAATTGCAACAAGATTTATATTTTGAAAAGCATTACAAAACACAATGTTTTGTTCAAATGGCGCACAAATCTTGTGTATATCACCAACGTCTCGTTCAACATCTCATCATTTATTCGGTTCCATGATCGTTCTTGATATACTTTAGTTTCACGGAGGAAATGATCACCCCACACTTGTTTACTTGTTATTGCAACAAGCAAAATAAGTGTCAAGTTGATAATCAAATAAACATATGAATACAATTTGTGTTTATTTGTTTCCAAATTTTTTTCCGAACTCATTGACCCGTGTAATCGTATTTGACCAAGCGGTAGATCACAATGAGTTCAACTTATGACAGAGAAATTTCATAAGTTGTATTATTGGGATGTTTTAAGTTTAGGATGGATAGCACTTGCAAATAAAAGTAAATATGTGGATTGAGTGGATTAGGGGTTCAAATCTACAAGCTTGAGTAGTTACATGAGTTCTAAAAAGCTACTGCTGTGTTCGCTACTATAGACCTAAGAACTTACTTTTAAGGACCCAACTGTGCAACATCAGATATGTTATTCTAGATGTTAGTATTCGGCCAACAACATTGGTTGGAGTTCGATTCAAATCATAAATAGGAGGCAATGAAGACGCAAAACTAGCAAAACTTTGAACTCCTATAGAAGTCATACCTTTATGGATTTATTTGTGTATTCTGACATAACAACTGTACGGATCCTTGAACTTGATTAGCAAGCAATGGAGTAGGAAGTGATGGTCCATCATTCTGCAATTTGCTCTCCATGTAGGCCATTTCGAAGCTACTTTACTCAAATAATCATACTACATCAACAAAATAAACGTTTGACATAGAATTAGTGCATCCTTGATATTTATTGGAAATACAGTGATAGGAACTAAAGTTCCTTCTGTATTCACGCGACATCATGAAAATATTCTGCAAGCATCACTAGCTTTTAGAGAGATACCTGACTAGTTGAAGCATTATACATATTTTCCTCAAATCGTACGTCAATGTTCTTCAGTTTCTGCCCCTCATGACCAGAAGGTAGATGCCTCTTCAATATCTCAATTATGTGCCATAAGTTAAGACACATTCACAATGGTTGATCAACAAGGACAAAAGTATTTAGTTACGAAAGAAGCGAAATCAAGAGGCACATACCGACAACTCGCGATACATATATATATAAAAGTCCTTATCCAGTTCCATTTCCTTAATTCATATTCATACTTGTGTCCAAAGACATCCCACCCATCAGCTCTACACCCCCAAAACACCATAAAATTTCTCAAGGTAGCACATAACATTTTCGGGGTTCAGTTTTTTCCTCTTGTCCATGGCATTTTTTCCTCTTGTCCGCAGACTATCAACCGGTCGTCTCTAGGATAAAACAGCTCCTCTCGTATACTCGACAGTTTTGTGCAAAAATCGGACCTCTATGAACACTCTCTCTATTGTGTTTCTGCTCGTTGTGGTGTGTTTAGAGGGTCTGAGGGATCGGCTATTTATAGGAGTCGAGTCCCCCATAATATTCCTCTTTCGTGGGGAATAAGTCACGGTAATTAAGAAGATAATCACTCCTTAATTAAAAAACCTAGTCGGATAAGATAAATCTTACTGGATTATCCTTCGAATATTCATTTTTAATCGATTATCCTCTTCCAACTCGTATTTATCTAGGATAAAGAATAATCGATTAATAATTAATTAATAGATAATTAATAAAAACCCATTTGCAGAGCCTTAAGTGCTCCATCATGTGTGGCTCAAGAGCAAAATGCCATCACCGCGCTTAAGAGTTTGGCAAAGGATGCCAATGGCGCAAGAGAAATTTTGGCCCAATGTCGAATGAGTTCCCTCATTAGAGTTTTGAAGGATGAAGCATCAACCCCATTTGCGAAAGGCACCGCTGCAGTTATAATGATTCTGCTCAATTGCAATCCCAAGTGGGAACAGTTCGCTAATGCTAAGGGGGAGGAAGTCATTCCTAGCCTATTAAGTTTGTAGGAGACAGGGGAAACTGCAGGTCGAAAGACAAATGCAGTTGGGGCCATAGTAGCTTTCTAGGACTGGAGGATTGAGTTATTGTTAGAAACGGAACAACAACCAAGAATGAGGATACCAAATCTGGAGCTGAGTCGCGAACTAGGTTGCTCTCTTTAAGACGTTCGCTGCACTACGCTGGATGCGCACAACAGACTATCAACTGGTTGTCTCCAGGATAAAACAACTCCTCTCGTATGTTCGGCTGTTTTGTGCGAAAACTGGAGCTCTATGAACACTCTCTCTATTGTGTTTCTGCTCGTTTGTAGTGTGTTTAGAGGATCTGAGGGGTCGACTATTTATAGGAGCCGAGCCCCCCAGAATATTCCTCTTTCGTGGGGAATAAGTCACTGTAATTAAGGAGATAATCACTCCTTAATTAAAATCGAGTCGGGTAAGATAAATCCTACTGGATTATCGTTCGAATATTCCTTTTTAATCGATTATCCTCTTCCAACTCATATTTATCTAGGATAAAGAATAATTGATTAATAATTAATTAATAGATAATTAATAAAATCCACATGCAGAGTCTTAAGTGCTCCATCGTGTGTGGCTCAAGAGCAAAATGCCATCACCGCGCTTAAGAGTTTGGCAAAGGATCTCTCTATTGTGTTTCTGCTCGTTTGTGGTGTGTTTAGAGGGTCTGAGGGGTCAGCTATTTATAGAAGCCGAGCCCCCCAGAATATTCCTCTTTCGTGGGGAATAAGTCATTGTAATTAAGGAGATAATCACTCCTTAATTAACACTCTCTCTATTGTGTTTTTGCTCGTTTGTGGTGTGTTTAGAGGATTTGAGGGGTCAACTATTTATAGGAGCCGAGCCCCCCAGAACATTCCTCTTTCGTGGGGAATAAGTCACTGTAATTAAGGAGATAATCACTCCTTAATTAAAATCGAGTCGGGTAAGATAAATCCTACTGGATTATCCTTCTAATATTCCTTTTTAATCAATTATCCTCTTCCAAATCGTATTTATCTAGGATAAAGAATAATCTATTAATAATTAATTAATAGATAATTAATAAAATCCACCTGCAGAGTCTTAAGTGCTCCATCGTGTGTGGCTCAAGAGCAAAATGCCATCATCGCGCTTAAGAGTTTGGCAAAGGATGCCAATGGCACAAGAGAAATTATGGCCCAAGGTCGAATGAGTTCCCTCATTAGAGTTTTGAAGGATGAAACATCAACCCCATTTGCGAAAGGTACCGCTGCAGCTATAATGATTTTGCTCAGTTGCAATCCAAAGTGGGAACAGTTCGCCAATGCAAAGGGGGAGGAAGTCGTTCCTAGACTATTAAGTTTGCTGGAGACAGGGGAAACTACTAGTCAAAAGACAAATGTTGTTGGGGCCACAGTAGCTTTCCAGGACAGGAGGATGGAGTTATTGTTAGAAACTACACAACAACCAAGAATGAGGTTACCGAATCTAGAGCTGATTCGCGGTTTAGCTCGCTCTCTTTAAGACTTTTGCAGCACTGTCCTTGATGCGCACGACAAACTATCAACCGGTCATCTCCAGGATAAAATAGCTCCTCACGTATGCTCTGCGGTTTTGTGCGAAAATCGGAGCTCTATGAACGCTCTCTCTATTGTGAATCTGCTCGTTTGTGGTGTGTTTAGAGGGTCTGAGGGGTCGACTATTTATAGGAGCCAGCCCCCCAGAATATTAATCTTTCGTGGGAAATAAGTCACGGTAATTAAGGAGATAATCACTCCTTAATTAAAACCGAGTCGGGTAAGATAAATCCTACTGGATTATCCTTCGAATATTTCTTTTTAATCAATTATCCTCTTCCAACTCGTATTTATCTAGGATAAAGAATAATCAATTAATATTTAATTAATAAAACCCATCTGTAGAGTCTTAAGTGCTCCATCGTGTGTGGCTCAAGAGCAAAATGCCATCATTGCGCTTAAGAGTTTGGCAAAGGATGCTGACTCACTCCTACTGTCACTCTAGAAAATGACCAAGTGAAACCAATTTCTAAAGCGTAGTATAACGGGTTTGGGTTTTAATGTCAACCCGGGTCCTAGATGTGATGGCTACTCAGTGAATTCTTATTATCTAGCGGTAAAACTTAAGTGCAGGTTCAAACAAACAAAAACACAAAGCAAGTTAAACGGTTGTTTCAAGTCGAGAGAGGTCACCCGGATATGGTTCCCCCTAGACTGCAGTTAAGCCGGACTGCAATTACCAAGTTCAATTTCTATGAAAGTTATATTGCGGAAGGTTCTTAAACAGTCTGAAGTCTCGACTAAAGGTCTCCAGACCCTCTCAATCTGAGTGCCCAGCTGGCAACTAACCTCCACTGGAGTAAACAGATTGAGGCCCTAACGAACCAAACCTCCACTACCGAAGTAAATTCGGTACAGAATAGTGAATTGACTCCTCGACTAAAGTCGCCAATTCACCACCTTCAATTAAGGGTGCTCTATTAACCTAGGCAGATATTCTCTTTCTAGGTTAAAGCAGAAATAACAGGAATTTGATCAGGATTCAAGTCATTCAATCATTCAAGCCTCAATTGAACATAATCAAATCATAAAATCTGTACTTGGGTACATACAATCAGACCTAACATACAAATCTAGGGTTCTCCATACTCAGATGAATGAGAAAACTACTCCATGGAGAAAGAAGCAAAAGCAGATTCAGATGCGGAAACCATACTGTGAAGGATGGATTTCTGCTCCTGGTTGTCGATCGGCACTTCTCCAAGCTCAAGCCGGGCTCCCATGATGAAGAAGATCAAGCTAGGGCACTTGGGAACTCTTGTTCGTCGCTTTCTCTCTCTAGGAATCGTTCTGTCTCTCTAAAACTCGGAACCCCCCTCACTTGTGGCTGGAAATTGGCTTAAAACCAGAAAATCCCAACTCACAGGCTTCCCACGCGGCGTTTCGTTAAGTGACTTCAGGCTTCCCACGCGGCCACGACCCACACGGCCATGTGAGTGTCTAGGCTGCCCGTGTGGCTTTTGCCGAGCCTTCACACGGCCACAGTGGGTCTCCGACACGGCCGTGTGGCTTTTGGGCCTGCCCGTGTGGCTTCTCAGCTTCTCCATAAACCGAGTTCGTTTAAGGACGAGTTCCAGGTTATGGAGACAGTGAGAGAATGAGTCTCCATAAACCGAGAAGTCGTCCATAAACACCTCCATAATCTCGCCGACCAGCCGGTTAAAGATGGCCAGCATGCATCGATGAAAAGTGGCGGAGGCGTTACATAGCCCGAATGGGATCCTCCGGTAGGCAAATGTGCCGAAGGGACAAGTGAAAGTGGTCTTCGCCTGGTCCTCCGGTGCAATGGGGATCTGGAAGTACCCGGACATCCCATCCAGGAAACAGTAGAACTCATGCCCCGCCAGTCTCTCCAGCATCTGGTCAATGAACGGCAGCGGAAAGTGGTCCTTCTGAGTGGCGTCGTTGAGACGCCGATAATCAATGCAGACACGGTGCCTAGTCACCGTGCGCATCGGGATGAGATCATTCTTCTCGTTAGGCACCGCGGTCATCCCACCCTTTTTTGGGTACCACCTGGGTGGGATTGACCCACTCGCTGTCGAAAATGGCGTAGATGATCACCGCATCCATCAACTTCACGATCTCTGCCCGATCCACAGCCTCCAGGTTCGGTGTCAGTCTTCTCTGCGACTGTCTCACTGGTCGCATCTCATCCTCCAGCAGTATCCGGTGGGAGCAAAAGGAGGGGCTGATCCCCCGAATATCTGTGATCTTCCATGCTAGGGCTCGCTCGTACCGCTGCAACAAGGCCACCAGTCTGTCCTTCTGCTCGGGCATGAGGATCGAGCTGATGATGACTAGAAGCTTATTCCCCTCCCGGAGAAATGCATACTCCAAATGAGGAGGGAGGGGCTTAAGCTCCAGCTCTGGTGGTTCCTCCAAGGAGGTGATGATGCGGGGTGAGGATGAGATCGGTTTGAACCACCTGTCGCCCTCCAAGAATGGGCCACTCTCCAGCGCGGCCAACTGCTCCGCCAGCTGCGGCTCCCGCGATGCCTGCTCACCTAGCAAAATACAGCGCTCAAGAGCATCGTCAGTACCCGCACTCGTTATAGCGAGTGCGGTCTCAAAATCAGCAAGCACATTACAGTAATCTACGTCATCATGCAAATGGGAGTGTTTCCCATTCTCAGACACAGAAAAAGTAGCATGTTCATCACCAGCACGCAGAATCAATTTACCACTATGCACATCAATAAGCGCCTTGGCGGTGGCGAGAAACGGTCTACCCAAAGTCAAAGGTACATCCACATCCTCATTTATATCCAAAATAACAAAGTTAACAGGATATGTGAATGCACCCACATTAACAAGCAAATCCTCAATGATACCCCTAGGATGCACGATGGAACGATCAGCTAACTGAATGCTCATCCTAGTAGCTCTAGGTTCACCTAGATCTAGCTTTTTAAACAATTTGTAGGACATGACATTTATGCTAGCGCCTAGGTCCGCCAAGGACTTTCCTACATGCATGCTGCCAATAACAAGAGGGATAGTGAAACTCCCTGGGTCTTTACGCTTCTCGGGCAGCTTGTTCTGCAGGATAGCAGAACACTCCTCGCTCAGCATCACTGTCGAAAGATCCCCAAGTTTCTTCTTGTTGGTGAGGAGGTCCTTCATGAACTTGGCGTACTTGGGCATCTTCGACAGTGCCTCCACAAACGGCATGCTGATGTTGACCTGCTTCAACATTGCTATGAATTTGGCAAACTCAGTCTCCAGCCTGTCTTTATGTAGGTGAGTGGGGAAAGGAAGTTGGGGTACATGCTCCTTAACCACTGTTGTGGCTTGGGAGCATGTGCTTCTTTGTCTCCCCCCACTTCTGCATTATCAGCTGGAAGTCTTGAAGCAGGTGGTGGCTCATCTTGGCTGGGCTGGGCAGGAGCAACAAATGTGGTCTTGCCACTTCTGGTAGTGATGGCATCAAGCTGCTGGTGCTGGTGAGGCTCACGCGGATTCGGAATAGTGGTGGCAGGCAGAGTCCCCGGTGCCTTAGTAGTGTTTTGGCGAGCCATGCTACCCATCTGGTTCTGCAAATCTTGCAAAATGGCACCTTGGTTTCTCTGACCTGCCTCCAGTGAGGCTATGCTATGCTGGGTGGTAGTCATGAATGCCGCTAGAATGTTTTTCATCTCCGTCTCTGATTATCTGGAGCCGGAGCTGCTGCTAGCTCGGCAAACTGACGCTGGGCTGCTGGAATAGTTGCCCCTGCCTAGGCTGGTAGGGCTGCTGCTGTGGGGCTAGTCCTTGTCGAGCCTGGAAGGGCTGCCTCTGCTGAAAGCCACCAGCTGGTGCTGGGAAACCAGGTGGTTTAGTGGTGTTGCTATTCCAAGAGAAATTGGGATGCTAGCGCCACCCCTCATTATATGTATTGTTGTAGGGGTCAAAGTGCCGAGCATTGGCGATGAAGTCCAACTGCTCTTGGGGAGTAGTTGACTCCCGCATAGCCTGGCAGTCTTCCACCAGATGACTTGAGCTCTCACACCACTGACATTGAGCTACTGGAGGTGTAGCCAAACCTCTGCCCGGAATAAGACTGTTGGGCTGCTTCAATGTCTGCACTAACTCGGCCACCTGCTGCTCGAGCCCGGACCTGGCCTCCATGGCGTGCACACCACGGTCCCGGGAATTTCTGCCTCTACTGCTCTGCCCCCAGGAATGATCTCTAGCAGCCAAGATACTGATCATCTGGTTCAGTTCGTGTGGAGTCTTAGTATGAATATCCCCTCCTGGGCATAGAGACTCAATCACCCTCTGGATGTCCGGAGAGAGGGCACTGTAGAAGTTCCCCACTGTGAATGCATCACTGAAACCATGATGGGGACACTGCCAGAAATATCCCATGTACCGCTCCCATGCATCACGAAGTGACTCGTCTGGCTCTTGGCGGAAGTGAGTGATCTCCCGCTGGATCTCTGTGGTCTTCGATGCTGGGTAGTACCTGTGCACGAATTTGTCGGCCAGATCGTCCCAAGAGGTGATGGACAATGGGGGCTGGGTCTCCAACCACCTCTTAGCATTCCTTGCCAGAGAATGGGGAAAGAGGTGAAGGCGGATTGCATCATCAGGGACACCGTTTAGCTTGAACCCGTTCGTCAGCTGCAGAAAACGGGAAAGATGCACCCTTGCCTCCTCATCCTTTAAGCCATGGAACTGGATAGATGATGTAATGAGTTGAATCCAGCATGGCTTGATCTCGAATTTGTTCACTGGAATAGGCGGGTAGAGGATGACCGGGCGGATGTCAGCAATCCGTGGAGTGTAGTAGTACTCCAAGGTGGGACCCGGTGGCGGTGGATGATGATGGACCCCATCTGCCTGGGGTATGGGGTTGTTCCCCAAGACCTGATTCACCGGGGGGACCAGGTGAGGATTCCCCTGGTGTGGATTGTAATCTCCTTCCATCTCGTACTCGTCCTCGGAATCGCTGCTCAAATGGCCGTCTATACGCTCATCCGTAGCCAGTCCAGCTCGCTGTTGTCTCCTGAGTTGGCGACAGGTGCGTTCAATCTCCGGATTCAACGGCAGTAAACCTCCCGACTGGCTACGGGTCATGCACTACCTGCACACAATCAAGCAAGCAAACCCGTGACGGCACAAGTGGGAAAGAACAAATAGTCAATGCGAAAATGAAAATGCTAAAGTAACAGAAATCACTTTTCTTCAACAACCTAGCCGTCCCCGGCAACGGCGCCAAAAACTTGACTCACTCCTACTGTCACTCTAGAAAATGGCCAAGTGAAACCACTTCCTAAAGCGTAGTATAGCGGGTTTGGGTTTTAATGTAAACCCGGGTCCTAGATGTGATGGCTACTCAGTGAATTCTTATTATCTAGCGGTAAAACTTAAGTGCAGGTTCAAACAAACAAAAACACAAAGCAAGTTAAACGGTTGTTTCAAGTCGAGAGAGGTCACCCGGATATGGTTCCCCCTAGACTGCAGTTAAGCCGGATTGCAATTACCATGTTCAGTTTCTATGAAAGTTATACTGCGGAAGGTTCTTAAACAGTCTGAAGTCTGGACTAAAGGTCTCCAGACCCTCTCAATCTGAGTCCGCAGCGGGCGACTAACCTCTACTGGAGTAAACAGATTGAGGCCCTAATGAACCAAACCTCCACTACCGAAGTAAATTCGGTACAGAATAGTGAATTGACTCCTCGACTAAAGTCGCCAATTCACCACCTTCAATTAAGGGTGCTCTATTAACCTAGGCAGATATTCTCTTTCTAGGTTAAAGCAGAAATAACAGGAATTTGATCAGGATTCAAGTCATTCAATCATTCAAGCCTCAATTGAACATAATCAAATCATAAAATTTGTACTTGGGTTCATACAATCAAACCTAACATACAAATCTAGGGTTCTCCATACCCAGATGAATGAGAAAACTACTCCATGGAGAAAGAAGCAAAAGCAGATTCAGATGCGGAAACCATACTGTAAAGGATGGATTTCTGCTCCTGGTTGTCGATCGGCACTTCTCCAAGCTCAAGTCGGGCTCAATGGTGATGAAGATCAAGCTAGGGAACTTGGGAACTCTTGTTCGTCGCTTTCTCTCTCTAGGAATCGCTCTGTCTCTCTAAAACTCGGAACCCCCCTCACTTGTGGCTGGAAATTGGCTTAAAACCAGAAAATCCCGACTCACACGGCCATGTCACACGGCCGTGTGACTCTCCCAGCTGCCCATGTGGCTTTGTAAAACGCGGCGTTTCGTTAAGTGACTTTCAGGCTTCCCACGCGGCCACGACCCACACGGCCGTGTGAGTTTCAAGGCTGCCCGTGTGGCTTTTGCCGAGCCTTCACACGGCCACAGTGGGTCTCCGACACGGCCGTGTGGCTTTTGGGCCTGCCCGTGTGGCTTCTCAGCTTCTCGCCAAGCGTCCAAACTTCATCCAATCGACCCCGAACTCGTTCCTAAACCTTCATTCACGTACTAGGACCTGAAATATCACAACAAAGAACAACCTAGCGTGAAATCGGCCTAAAACACCGGAATGGACATCTCAAACGGCTCAAGAATAGGGGTAAAAACATGTGTAATTAATGGTCTATCAGAAGCCAATGGCGCAAGAGAAATTCTGGCCCAACGTCGAATCAGTTCCCTCATTAGAGTTTTGAAGGATGAAACATCAACCCCATTTGAGAAAGGTACCGCTGCAGCTATAAAGATTTTGCTCAGTTGCAATCCCAAGTGGGAACAGTTTGCTAATGCAAAGGGGGAGGAAGTCGTTCCTAGACTATTAAGTTTGCTGGAGACAGGGGAAACTACTAGTCAAAAGACAAATGATGTTGGGGCCACAGTAGCTTTCTAGGACAGGAGGATGGAGTTATTGTTAGAAACAACACAACAGCCAAGAATGAGGTTACCGAATCTAGAGCTGAGTCGCGGTTTAGTTCGCTCTCTTTAAGACTTTCGCAGCACTGTCCTCGATGCGCACGACAGACTATCAACCGGTCGTCTCCAGGATAAAATAGCGCCTCTCGTATGCTTGGCGGTTTTGTGCAAAAACCGGAGCTCTATGAACGCTCTCTCTATTGTGAATCTGCTCGTTTGTGGAGTGTTTAGAGGGTCTGAGGGGTCGACTATTTATAGGAGCCTAGCCCCCCCCCCCCCCAGAATATTCCTCTTTCGTGGGAAATAAGTCACGGTAATTAAGGAGATAATCACTCCTTAATTAAAACCGAGTCGGGTAAGATAAATCCTACTGGATTATCCTTCGAATATTTCTTTTTAATCAATTATCCTCTTCCAACTCGTATTTATCTAGGATAAAGAATAATTGATTAATATTTAATTAATAAAACCCATCTGTAGAGTCTTAAGTGCTCCATCGTGTGTGGCTCAAGAGCAAAATGCCATCAATGCGCTTAAGTGTTTGGCAAAGGATGCCAATGGCGCAAGAGAAATTCTGGCCCAAGGTCGAATGAGTTCCCTCATTAGAGTTTTGAAGGATGAAGCATCAACCCCATTTGCAAAAGGTACCGCTGCAACTATAATGATTCTGCTCAGTTGCAATCTCAAGTGGGAACAGTTTGCTAATGCAAATGGAGGGAAGTCGTTTATGACTATTAAGTTTACTGGAGACAAGGGAAAATGTTGCTCAAAAGACGAATGCAGTTGGGGCCATAGTAGCTTTCCAGGACTGGAGGATGGAGTTATTGTTAGAAACGGAATAACAACTAAGAAGGTGGTTACCGAATCTGGAGCTGAGTCGCGGACTAGTTCGTTCTCTTTAAGACGTCCGCGGTACACCTTTGTAGCTTATAAGTCATATCTCTGAAGTGACTCAAGGGTCGATTGAGCTTCTACTAAGTCATAAATACGTACTTACAACAATTAGGCTCCTCAAGCATTTAAGGGATCCAAGGCTCAAGAAAGAATGCATCCTCATTGTGTTGGGTATTTGTTAGGGTGCCAAGTGTTGCTTTCTTGTGACTAGCAAATCCTTGCTTGCTATCGCTTTATGTATCAGAAAAATAAATATTTTAAAGATTAATAATTTTAATATTGACTCAAAAGTGAAAGTAATCTTATTTCATTCTTAATCATTCTTTTCATAGGTTTGTTATTTACCATAGCATATGGTCGATGAACTTACATAAAGTAGAAGGGTCGTCGAATAGATTATTTATGTTTAAACTTCTTTCATGATGTTATTGTTTCAATTTGTATGGCTAGTAGTTGATCCTGCTGTAACTTTTGCAGAATGAAGCAGTTTCTCTGGATCTTCTTAAAAAGTATTTAAAAAAATGTTGAGTGTTTAGCTGAAAAACTATCAGAATTACTTTCTCATATAAGAGGTAATGTAAAATGACTAAAAAAGATTTCTAACATAAAATATGTATACAAATTCTAAAAAGTATCAAAATGTTGTTTCGAAAGAGTAAGGGAATGAGGTTTCAACACACATGATGAGAGGAGGCGAGAGTTTGAGGTGAAAAAGAAGAAGATAAGGAAGAAACAGAAGTGTCTTCTAGGATCTTCTTTATTTAGATTTGTTTTTATTTTTAATTAATAAGTGACGTGGATGTCACTTCCACTGGATTGCTGAGTCAATGACGGAATAAATGTTATATTAACGGGTAACACAAATTTCGGGTCAAATTCGTTCATTAATTTGAAAAGTTGGTCATACTGTCTTATAGGAAAATTCGGACCAAAACTATCACTAATTCAAAACTTCTGATATTAACCCAAAAAACAAATAAAAGGAGCGCAGAAGAGAAAACCGTTTCATAATCCGAAGCCAATAAGTACACTAATTATCTCGTTCTGTTTTTTTGCTTGTTGCTATATAAAGGGCGTGACCACGGCTGTATACGAATCTTCCCCTTCTTTCTCACTATTGGAATTAGGTTTTTTTGGGGTTATAGGTATAATGTGCCCCCGGCTGTATATGATGTTTTATAAAAAATGTCTCTTTACTATTTTTTACATCAAGCATGCCCTTTCCGCACTCGAGTGAATAATAATCAATGACAATTATAATATTTGTGCTTCTCTTTCAATGTGTATACATGCTGGGCTGGGCTTGGCCTTGAGGAATTTTTTTATAGGAATAGCCAAGTTTAAAAATAAAATTATAAATATAGCACACAGCTCTAAAAAATTGCAAAAGTAGTACTCTTATCTTAAAAATTGCTATCCCACCTAGCGATTTACACAAGAAAACTTCAGGGTAAGGGATGGATAGGGGCCGTTTTTATGACCGCCCGCTGCCCCTGCGGTTTGATCAATTTTTTTTTTAGACTTCAAACGAACTTCAAAGAAACGTATGTTTCTGACCGTCCACCCCATAACCGTCCAGAACTCGGCGGCAGAAAGCAGAAATCGAACAATACGAAGAAATTGGAATTAGAGTCTTCTGAATCCTAAGCTCGGGTTGGGATTGAGACCTTCTGAAATTGCTTCGGCGAACCCATCTTTGTCCTTGAACAAGAGAACTATTTGGGAAGCTACTTTCATCCTTGTTTTTCTCTTCCTTTCCACCTCGCCGGCGAGAAGCTTGTGTTCGCTTGGAAAATATGACGGTGATCGAGAAGCCGGGAGAACTGGAACAGAGTTTTTGGGCTTTTTTCTGTATGGGCTTGGGCTTAGTGATATCTTCGTATAGTTTAGCGGGCAAGTTTTTGGGCTTTGTGATTACTTGGTTTAGTTTAGCGCCTAAGTTCCTCAAGCGCCCACTAGCATTACTTTCACGGTGGAAGGTGCCGCCGTTAGATCTCGAATTTCACCCCACCGGAGGTTGCCGATCGGAGCCGTCTCTGCGGCGACAGAAGAACAATCGGAAGAACTAAGAGAGAGAGAGAGCTAGTAAGGAATCTCACGACATGCAAAAAGCGGCGCAAGCATGGTTCGGCGGAGGTCCGAGCAGCAGCAGTGGCAGCAGCTTCGGTGACGGACTGGATAAGGAGAAGCCGTCCTTGCTCGCCGACTGGAACGCCTACGCCGCAGCTCAGAACGACGCCGATGCCGATCCCGATATCGGCTTCGATATCGAATCCGCCGTCCGCTCCACCAGCGACAAAGTCACCGGGACTTTCAGCGTGTGAGAATCCTTTTCTCTCGCTGGCGATTGTTCTTTTCATTTGCTCTAGGTTTTTTTGCTCTGATCACTACTCCGTTTTTTATTCGTTATCGAAATTCAACCCTCTCTTAGCCTATGCTTGGATAGATAGCTTAGAGGAAGTTTTCACTTGAGCGAACTATTTTCCGGATCATCTGAGTGTGACGTCTCGATGCTCCTTGTGTTCGTTCTATTTTGCTTCCATCTCGGATATCTGAACTAGGAATCCCACTTGTTAGTTCTAGCAAAGAATTGCAGTGTGCTATCTAACTTCAGCTCGTGAAAGGGAAGCCATGAAATTTGGACCTGTCACTAACTTCATTGCTCTTGACGGTGTACTAGACCCCCAGTGTTGTAGAAAACTTGGCTACCACTCCATTTCATGCTAGTTGCAGTGCCCTTTCAGAATTCTTACTTTATGGCTCAATTTTGAACTATGAATTCCCATCTGGGTTGGTTCCAGTTCAGAACTAGGATTTCTGCATCCTTTATTCATGCTGCTAATTGGATACAGGGCTACTAGTTTTAAAGAACACTTGGTGTTGCTATCTCATGCGAAGTCTTGAAAAAAATGATAGATTTCATGTTAGTTAAAGTGGTTTCAGCATATTATAGACACAGTATTTTCAGCTGGAAATAGGGTGCCATGATTTCTGAATTTCATTTTGTTGCTGCATACTAGTAGTATGCGGCAATTGATATTCGTCCTAACTCGTGTTTGTTTTTCAGGGTATCGAAAGGAGTGAGGGATCTGCCGGGAAGTTTCAAGTCATCCACTAGCAATGTCCCTTCTGGGAAGTCTTTCATGTACTTTGGCGTACTCCTTGCCTCTGGAGTGTTCTTCATCTTTCTAGCATTCACAATGTTCCTTCCGGTGATGGTTTTGGTTCCCCAGAAATTCGCAATCTGCTTCACCATCGGCTGTGCTTTCATAGTTGGTTCGTTTTTCGCTCTCAGAGGCCCCAAGGAGCAGCTTCTACATATGTTCTCCAAGGAGGTACTTTGCACTAGTTAATTCTCCTATGGAGCAATCAAATAATTCTAAATGACGGGTCTTACTGACGTTTTGCTTCGTTATCTCATCAACAGAGGCTTCCCTTGACTTTGGGATTCATCGGCACAATGGTTGGAACAGTCTATGTATCCATGGTGCTCCACAGTTACGTTCTTTCAGTCGTCTTCTCAGTTCTACAGGTACCCTTTAACCCGATCCTCTTCCACTTTGATTTTGCGCCATTGATTGTAAAGCTTCCTCCATGGATGCCGGACGTATACAGCTCTCACACATTCTCCCCCTGCGCTTCTGTCAGGTTATCGCGCTATCATACTACGTCATTTCTTATTTCCCTGGAGGATCTACAGGAATGAAGTTCATTTCTTCAACTCTTACATCTTCTGTATTGAGATGTTTTGGAAGGTAATGCTCCATTTGGTTTTGCCTTTTTTGTGCAAGGCTTCTGAATTCGTAACATTTAACAGAACGCTGATGTTGTAAGGAATCCAATCATCCTATGAGCAATGTGATATTGAGCTGCTTGTGCTACTTCTCTTTCTATACATAGCTCTCCTGTCCCGAAACAAACTAGCTAGGATAAAACAGAAAATTCACTTTCAAGTAATCGAATCTGCAGCCAAAACACTACGAAACAGTGTGAAAGGCACCTATACCCATTCCTATCTCCTAGATGCTGCTGCTATAACATAGCTAAGTAGAACCGAGTCTCCTAAATGCTGCTCCTATAAGATAGCTGCGTAGAACTGAAATGAACCGTAGGCTGCTGCTATAAGATAGCTTAATAGATCTGGGCAGTGGTCATTGGTTCATACAGAATGTTGACTGCTTATGCTCTTGATCCCGTCTTTAGTTTTGGGTACATTGCTACACATCTCTGGACCATTCTTCATCTCATTCTCGCTACTTCCCTCTTGATTGTGGGATGCTCTCGAACTTGAGCTAATGCTACTCCCATCAGTGCTTGTTACTCCTATCTGCTTTCCCGGAGGACCAACCTGAATTGCTTCGATCGACAACACTTTGACCAGATTCTTGAAACGCCGCCTGAAAGTTGGAATGCGTGACATCGAAGCTACAATCCCTTGTAGTCTGCATGTAAAATGACAGAACCAAGCATGTTAGGATCCAAACTCACTAGAGTTCTTGCCTGTGGAGTAGGGCTGGTGAACGGGTATGGAACTTTGCCCCCTCTCCTTAATGAGGTAAAACCATACCTTCTGATTAGGGCTTGTAACTGAGCTCTTCTGACATGGTCGCCACTCGGAAACCCTTCTTCGTCCCAGTCTTCAGGTCTCTCATTCTTGTTCACCATTACCAGCTTCCTCAAGCTCATCTCCTCATTGTCATTCAGCTGAAGCTTTCTAAGTTGTTCTTTCATGATCAACAATGGTTCTATGAACCAATCGAAAACTTTGTCCCTTGGCCCATTAGCTGTCGTCAACTCCACATCATCAGCTGCAATATGTGCAATTAGTATAATCATCTCAATAACTACTTACCACATTCACGTTAAACCGACAAGGATGGCTTATAACAAAACACATACAGATCACCAACCCAGATGAATCTTGCTTTGCTGAGGTTAGAAGGCACTGTAATATGGTCCAAGCTGGCAGTTTGATCCCTAACTTCTTGCAATTACCCTTCACAAGGCACTCTTTAATGTCCTTGGTATCTATAAACCCTTCGCGGAGGAGTATTTTTCCGTTCACTTCACATGATTTGAATAACCAGTCCCATATCTGTTGACATGTTTTTACATCAGGTCGACAACTGGACTGGAAACTGTAGCAAGATCTAGGTTGCATACAACCAACCATACCTGTACTGGCTTAAATTCCTGAATGGCCCGTTTCAACGATCTTGTCCGCTCCGGTACAAGTCTTGCGTTGAGTGAGTTTTGCCTTCTCTTGTTCATGCTCCCATCATTATCACCTAGTTTAGGACTCTGGTTCTTCCGATACTTGGGCCTGGCTGTCCATGAAATCCTCAAAGTTAAAACTGTTTGATTCAATTATTTGGCACCTAATTGTACCCTCTAGTAGATCAAATAATGAACTTATCAATCAAATACACCTTTACCTGGGTAGACAGGAACCTTCGCTCAAGTAGAGCAGATCATTGACATACTCGTCGAACAATGAAACCACCGCAATAATATAGGCAAGTCCTGACTGGAATGAATCTTCCTGGAAATTATGGATCTTGGTTTTAGATAAAACACCAAACGAACTTCAAATCGAAACCTATGAAAAGTTGCACAGCAGTTAAAACTCAAACACAAATGGACCGATATTTCTGAAAAGGTGGTCTGATTCAAACCTGATGGACAACAACTCCGCTGTACAATCCCAAGAAGAAGCTGGACACTACAGCTGCTACAACTGAAGCCGCGACAGCTAAAGGCCACAAAAGAATTGCGAGACCCGCAAATGGAACACAAACAGTCTCCAAGAACGGGCCTTCTCTACCGATCAGATCTTCCAGCAGCCGCTTCCAGCCTTGCAAAAGCATGTAGGGGCTTTTCCACAGGGCGAGAGCAGTGATCAGAAACATATCTACCGGGACACCGATTAGGGTGACCAAGAAACTACTCGGCAGCCTCATCAACCTAGTATAAGACACAGAAAACATGACATATCCGGTCTCAGTAATCAGCTCCCTTCTTTCGTTCGGAAAATTCCAAGTTCGTGAAGGGGTTCTTACTTGACATCGATAGGCTTTTCATCGGGAGGCACTTTCTCGCTCAGTTCATCCATATAAGAGAAGTAGGAATGGAAGCAAAAATCCGTAAAATCCCTAACGACAGTGCAGCTGTATCTGACCGTCGAGGCGCAACCGTCCTGCATTTTTTGCAGGCATTTTTATGCAGAGCAATGTCAGAGCTACCACAAATCCACGAAACTCTCTGTTCATCGACGAAGTCAGAGTGAGAAAACAACTCACAACGAAACAATGGTGGCACTTCTGCTTGACATTCTCCCCAACAGCTTCGAAAGTAGCGAGCAAAGGCGCGAAAAACCCGTACCCTATCCCACCCAGAAGGCTCCCAACAATACCAACTGGAGGCCATAGCACCAAAGGCACCGGTAAAAGCAGCATCGCCACAATCTTCAAAACCAAGCCAAGCCTCTTTGTTCTACAAAAAAAATTCAACATCGCAAAGTTTATTCTAAAGAAAAAAAGCAAAGAACCCTACTCTCCGAAGTTGCCTAACAAAACCCCCCAAAAAAAAAACAGAGTACCTTGCTAGACAATAGTAAGTCCATAGGAAATGAGCAATCCAGAGTCCCAAAATCACCGCAGTGTTCCCGATCAGTATGATCGCCGCCGAAATGGGACCGATCACTGCAGCTGCTCATACAGAAAAGAAAGAACTTTTGTAAAACCTGAGAAGAAAACCCAGAACAGAAAGGAAAAACCTTTTCAGTTGTGAAATACCCATTTCAGAATTAGCATAAAAACGACTGACTGTACCTTTGGCGAGGCCGAGGATGAAGAGCAGGAAGAAGAAAGGCAAGAAGGAGAGGAAGCTCCATAACTTGGAGAGAAACCCTACTGGAACGTTCATGGCTGCACCCTGGTAAAAAATGGAAACTGTAAAAATTTGGTGGACAGGCGGAGAAACGGGAAAGGAAAGGAGAGGAGGGGGAGGTTACTGTGAAGGGGAAGTAGAGGGACACGTGGCTGGGTAGCGGTGGCACCAAGGATACGCGTGGCATCCGGGAAAGGCGTGAGAGGCACTAAATCGTGAAAAGGACAAAAGGAAGTCTGCTTTTTTGTTGTTGTAGTTTTGGGGTCGGGAGAGAGTGACACACCAAAGCCACCGGTTGTCACGCTTTTTTGGCGGGAACTCAACCAACCTCCACTCCTGTTAAATGCTTTTTGTTTTGGGCTGTGAAGAATGGATTTGGGCCGAGATGTTGGGCTTTTGTGATATTGATACATACTCCCGGGGAAGTGAGCAAGTATTTTGTTTCTACGATTGAATGTTAGATAAAGCGTATCGCCGTATCCTATAGTTTGATCGAAAAAAAAATTGTTTGTTGGAGCCCAATTTGGTATAGCAATTTATCGTTATAAAATGATTGTACTGTGGTTAAATCACGATTTAAATACACAATACTACTAACGTATTACAATTTTGGGTACGAGTTTACAATCCTAGTATGATTGAGTCGAGAAAAGCTGTTATTTGATTATGAGATAAGGGTTCCTCTTTGCTAGAAAATCTACGTCTAACGGTTTACTTTAGTTTATGTGGTCGTTTGTAGAGTTGGAGTCTAAGGTCTTAAATTTCAAACGTACTAAACATTCCAATTCTCTGAATAGATTGTTAAATGGATTTTAACTGTGCATTGCTTGGTAATTGCAATTGTTAACATTCAATATATTTTTATTTTTATTTTTTTAACAAATGACATGTTTACCAAGAACCAACTCATGAACAAGCTGTTCGGCTCATCACTAACAGTTGAATAACCTGATCAAACCAAATTGATGGCCGGTTGTAACATTTACTAATCAGACTTCGCGATTCGGTCAAACTATGATAATTGGGGGTTTACAGATTTGTGCTGTCACTTTTGCATCAAGAGGCTAATCAATGCCACTACAATATTGGTGGATACTTTGATAGTAGGCCAAAAAATATTGATACATTCTAATAAATTTTTTGGTCAAATGCCGTTTGATATACGAGCCTTTCTAGTGTGCTCTATAGCACCCATGCTATAAAAAAAAAAGGTGACCTGTTGAGGAGGTAACCCACTAAATGATTGGTCCCACATCATTAATGGCAATCTTGTAAATAATGAATCAATGTATACAAGTGTAGGTACAAATTACAGTTGTACCATATAGTATAGGTACAAGTTTCAGCTGTACCATTGAAGAATTTGTTTCACAAAGTGTAGGTACAACTTAAAGTTGTACCATTAGTATAGGTACAACTTTTAGTTGTACCATAAAGGGATTTGTTAGAAAGTGTAGGTACAACTTAAAGTTGTACCATGGTATAGGTACAAGTTCGGGTTGTACCATAAAAGAATTTTGAGAAAGTGTAGGTACAACTTAAGGTTGTACCATTAGTATAGGTACAATTTTTAGTTGTACCATAAAGGGATTTGTTAGAAAGTGTAGGTACAACTTAAAGTTGTACCATGGTATAGGTACAAGTTTGGGTTGTACCATAGCAGGATTTGGAGAAAGTGTAGGTACAACTTAAGGTTGTACCATTAGTATAGGTACAATTTTGAGTTGTACCATAAAGGGATTTATTAGAAAGTGTAGGTACAACTTAAAGTTGTACCATAGTATAGGTACAAGTTTGGGTTGTACCATAGAAGGATTTTTAGAAAGTGTAGGTACAAATTAAAGTTGTACCATTAGTATAGGTACAAGTTTGGGTTGTACCATAAAGGGATTTATTAGAAAGTGTAGGTACAACTTAAAGTTGTACCATGGTATAGGTACAAGTTTGGGTTGTACCATAGAAGGATTTTTAGAAAGTGTAGGTACAAATTAAAGTTATACCATTAGTATAGGTACAAGTTTGGGTTGTACCATAAAGGGATTTATTAGAAAGTGTAGGTACAACTTAAGGTTGTACCATTAGTATAGGTACAATTTTTAGTTGTACCATAAAGGGATTTGTTAGAAAGTGTAGGTACAACATTAAGTTGTACCATAGTGTATAGGTGCAATTGTGAATTGTACCATAGAAGATTTTTAGGAAAGTGTAGGTACAACTTTAAGTTTAGTGTAAAGGTACAACTCTAGAATGTGAGATTTTGACGGGCGTGACTATGTCAAGTAGTAGCCGTGAAATTTCCTGGGATAGTGAGAACTGCTCTTTCAAATTACCAGAAGAACTGAAAACCCCCTACATCAACACCTGAGTATACTAATTAACCATGAAATCCGCCATTGGCATATATAAATTTCACCCAAAACACCCAGCTTCCATTAAATTTCACCCAAAATACAAATTCTCACGGCCGTGACATGACCCGTGAGAAGCAAAGAGTAGTTTTCATATCACAGACAATCTCACGGCTTTGGCTTCAAAAATCACGGCCGTTAAAATAACCCGTGAAACTAAAAACACCGATAAAAATCACCCAAAACACCCAGCTTCCATTAAATTTCACCCAAAATGCAAATTCTCAAGGCCGTGACATGACCCGTGAGAAGCAAAAAGTAGTTTTCATATCCCCAGACAATCTCACGGCTTTGGCTTCATAAATCACGGCCGTTAAAATAACCCGTGAAACTAAAAACACCGATAAAAATCTGCCATATTCATTAAGCTAGCGAGCATAAGATCAATCTATTACTGAGCACAAACTTCAGTGGAGGCCCATCAATGTTCGATTTCAAAACTTCTCCAGTACTCTTCCACTTGCTAGTATAAGATACAGTGATCTGGAAACATATCAAGAAGCTAGAGACAAAGTTTTTTTAAAGTCTAACCAACCTACCAATTAATTTGCTAAAAACGAGACAATTTGATGATACAATCAACTAGTAAAGATTTCCAAACTCTACAGACAATTTGATGAAATGCCAGTATGAGAGAAGTACAGTTACAAAGACATCAAGATTTTAGGACCCTGCAGTTAGCATTTAAACATAGCAGAATCATGCATGCAGTCCATTCTGAAAATGACACTCAACCAAGTTTCTCTCATTTATGCTTTTCCTTTTTCACTTTTATGAACTAAATTTGTTTCTGGACTGAATATTTGTCCTGCATTTCAAATTAAACTTTCCATTGTTTTCCACACACCGCCACTGCCCGTATTAACGGGGTCTCTTGCTACAATGCTTCCAAGAAAATCAGTCCTAACTCCCTTCTAGGACTCCATTGTCGATATTAAATTACCAGGATAAATAGTAGAGTTTAAGGGCAACCAAATGCATAAATAGTTATGAAGTGATGGGTCATCTATATCACAGCCAGTGACAATTTCCATATGAACATCACACGTATACCAACTGACCAAATATAAATAGTATGAGGGACTGGACTAACATAGCAATCTTAGTTGCTTTCTAGGGCACCCACAAGGCTGTTTTCTTTGAAGAAAGCAGCTAAAAGGTTGTCCAAAAAGAATAAACATCATTTAGCAAGTAAAGCAGGTGCAGAGCTAAACTTCTATTCTTCTTCCAAAATCACATCAACACCTTCCGTAAGTCTAGACTTGGCTAAGTAGTTACCAAGAAGAACGACTTCAATGGGACAATATTGAAAATCCATCTTTATTTCTTCCCAAGTCTTTAGATGAACTAAAAATCCAAAATATCTTGCAAATAAAACAAAAGCCACTGAACATTTGTAACCTTCTACCCGCCATTTCCTAGGTTGGGGACAAGATGCAGCAGAACAGTAGTATTGATAAAGCATCATGGAACTTTAACATTTCATTTTCCGCAATTCGTTAACCAACATACGATCACCACCTTCATTAGAAGCAGCATAATCAGTAGCTCTGAAAACATAACAAATACACGAGCTTCTAACAATTTGGAGCAGTATGAAGTAGGCAAGAAAAAGATGTTGTTATGCGTTACAATGAGGTCTACTGATTGTATCAAATATTCCACCACGATACCAACGCTTGCTAAAGATTCTAGAATTTTGATCAGTCATATAAAATGAGATCGAGGCACGGAATGTACAATAAAGAATAAAACTGGGAGTAACTCCCAAGCTGCCGTATATTCTAAGGCCAACAGACCTCCTGTATTTGCATATCGATCAGCCACAACCATGCTCTAAATATCCTAACTAAGTTTGACCTTAATGTCTCATCATTCATGGAAGCTCTTTTACCCACTGCACTAAACTTCTTTTCTACATTATATACACAATTCTAACTCCACGGACAGTCCCTTCGGATACATCCGATAACTCCACAAACAGAAAACTCATACTATGAAGTGAACAGTTAAGATAAGCACCCATTTCTGTTGGTTAATCGCATGCTTGGAGCCACTAACCATAGCAAAGAGACTTAAATCAATCAAACAAATCATGGTCTTCAAACTTAACTACATTCATCAATTGGCTAAACAGAGAAAAATTCCCAACTTTCTCAGTGAACACGGCCTTTCTATCTACCATATCATATCATATCAATCCTCCCACGAAGAAGATGGAAGAACTACAACAACAACATCCATCCAAAGCTTCCTCACCAAAGGAAGCATCATCAACAACCACAACCGCAACCACAACAACAACAACCACAACTGCTGTGAATTCTTCAGACTCGAATTCTTCTACCCTAACAACAGAAGAACCCAATGCTCCTCCTCAACAGAAGAAGATTGAGGAACAACAACAACAACAACAACAACAACAACAGCCTGCTAAGGATGTTGCTGAAACGGAGACAAATCAAGCACAACCTCAACAGCAAAAACAAGGTGAAGAGAAGGTAAATGCTGCAAATTCTCCTTCAAAACAAGTGAAGGAACAACAGGAACCGCCATTGCAGCTAATTATCAAGCTAAACACAAAGAAGATAGTACTAACCGAAAAAAGTTGCGGTGGAGGAGGTAGGTCAGCGGTCTTCGTTTGCTATCGATGGGAAGAGGGGGTTCTGTGCAGGGTCTTCGTTTGCTATCGATGGGAAGAGGGGTTTTGTGCAGAGTCTTCGTTAGCTATCGATGGGAAGAGGGTCTTCGTTTGCAATCGACGAAGAGATGCTCGCTCTCGTCGTCCCTTGCTCACCGCCTTCACTGTCGTCGTCGGAATCCGGAATCCGAATCGCCGCCTTCACTGCCGCCTTCTACTCGTCGTCACCCACTGCTCGCCGTCTTCACTCGTCGTCACCCACTGCTCGCCGTCTTCACTGTCGCCGTCTTCACTGCTCGCTAGCTGCGTGGAGAGGATCGAAGGAAGGAAGAGGATCTAAGGAAGAGGGGTTTCGGCGGTGAGAAGAAGAGTGTAATTGGTTTCGAAGGAAGAAGAGTGTAATTGGTTAAAGACAACCGGTTGTACCGGTTATCAACACACAAATAAAATAATAAATTAATAATTTAAATGAAATCTAATGGTTGATATAGTTTGGACATGATCTAATGGCTGTAAATGTTTTATAGTACCAATACTATAAAGCACACTAAAATGCCTCTTGATATACTACTGTATCTCTTAAGTATAGTTCAGGGGGAAAATGACATGAGATGTCTTGGAAAATCGATATCTTACACAACCTTGTTATGAAGTAGTCTAAAAGAGTGAATTTTTAATAAAGGCTACTGCTTTAGCCTTTAGCAAAGATTGTAAATCATATAAGAAGTTGTAGCTGAAAAAATCAACAAAAAGACATTTTAAATTAGTATCGTGATTTAATCAACACTAAAATATTTCAACCAACCATTTCGTACTGTTCAATAACGCTTAATTGCCTACCAATTTAGTATTGATAAGAAAATTTTCTGGTCCAGCCGCAGTATAATTTTTAAATCCTTAATTTTTGCAAATGGCCGAGAGAGAAGTAAAACAAATTTGTATAGTAGTGAGTCTATTGGATTCGCAGATGTAACCCAACTAGTCTTGGTTCATAACGATGGAGAAAGAGAGGGAGGGAGGGAGGGGACTTCCATTTCTGACAAAAGCTCCTCGTTTGCATCAAACCGTAACCGTCCATCCCAAGAATTCAATGATATTTCATGTGTGTTGATGACAGATTCTACAGCCTGACACCCACACTGCTTATAATTAATGTCTTCAAAACCTTTTTTTTTCTTTTCTTCTTCCAAATTTCAAATACAAATGCAGTAAAATCACAATAAACCAGAAGTTACGTATCGCGTTGTGTTTGCTTAACCCGTAAAACATACGCTTATATGAATCACATCGATCTATGGTTTGATCTCACAAACACTTGATAAATAGTGGATAAAGGAATTTTACATTCTCTTAAAAAGGTTGTAATGTATTTAATATTTAGTGATTTAGTCCAAGCATTCATGCATCCAATTTTATGACAGTATCAGTTACGAAAACATTTTGGTAATAATGGACCCAATTCAGTACAGTCAATGAAGGTAAACCACATTTGTCATTAAATAGTTAGACACGTGTCCTTACAAAATCGGAATCTTCCAAAAGTGCTTCTCTACCTGCAACTCAAATCTCATCCCAGAATCATAAACAACCTTCCTTCTTCTTCTCTCTTCCTTCCTAAAGGAATTCCATCGAATGCTCAAAAGAAATGGAAGTTGAAGAAGCTGAAACAAGGCGTCAACAATCATCATCATCCTCAACTACTACACTCGTAATTCTCACAGCGGCTTTCCTCCCAGTTTCCTTGCTCATCGCTTCCGTCTTCTTCTTCAACAACAATCACAGCATCATCCATGGCTTCTCTCCACCTTCAAGCTTTCTAACATGGAGCAGCAACCAAGCTGCACCCAATCTCCCAAACGTAAGCAAAAGGTTTTTTCATCACACTGATCCTTTAATTTCCCCTCTCGATCCCTTTCTGTTTTGCATGATCAAGAAATCAACCCCCTTTCTCGGTGTAGCTTCTTGAAGGTGATCAATCTTTGGTTTCTTAATTTCTTTTGTTTTGTCCCTTGGACTCAAATGAATTCTTCAGGGGAGCCGCCATAGTAGCAGTCTTTTGGAGAAAGCTTGTGCAGTGACAAGGGATCCGAAGCTGGAGAAAGTAGAAGCAAGTCTAGCCATGGCCAGAGCTCTGATCAAAGAAGCTGCTGCCACGTTGAACTGCACTACTGCATCGTCAGCTCTACATCAAGACTCGGACTATGTTCCATTCGGCGACGTTTACAGGAACCCTTGTGCGTTTCACCGGTAATAGTCCAAACCTCTGCCTCCAGTAATTAGAATAAACTACTCTTTCCTTGTCTCAAAGCAAACAACCAAAAAAAAAAAAAAAAACAAATTGAAACTGTACGTAACTTATTATTATTATTATCTCTAATTAGCCTAGAGATCAACAAAACAAGAAAATGTGAAAGCTTCATTAATGCGGCATTGGGTGTTCCGAGAAGAGAATTCAGGATTGGATTAATTCGTTAGTATTTTGTAGAGTTAAATAATTTATTAATTGTCTATGTGGTATTTCATTGTTTTATATATGGTACTTAAAATATTATGTTTGATTGAATAATTTACCTATGCTGTTTTACATCTGATATTTTGCCAACAACTAATGTGTAAAACGCATTATTTCCAAATAAGGCTATGTAGGAGTTATTTTAATAATTGATTTTGAATATAAATAACTCACAACCCAAATAATTTATTCCAGTAAAATATTGTCAAACGAGTTATTTAGACCAAAAGTACTCACCTAAAAATTTCATCCAAACAAACCCTAACCCAATACAATAGGATAATTTGAGTTCTTAGGCATCAACCGAATACCGATCCTGGTAGTATATTATTATCTTCTTTAAGCTGTAAATCGAAGAAACCAATTAATAGAATAGAGAGGCCTTTCCTGTCGGCTATGTCGGTGGCTATAATTTTCCCCTCTTTGATGCATTCTCGTTTCTATACAAGTCAAATTGTACATTCTGAACTTAATTACGAGGCAGTTGCTTATAGAAAAAGGATCATTGCTGGACTTGCATGTGTGATCACATCTATCAACACCAAGTATTGATTTATGATATGATCAAATGAGGTTTGAATTTGATAACTTTGAGATTATCAGAATCGTACGTATGAATTGATTCTTGATATGATGTATCAAAAGTTTATTTGATATAAAGTTTTTTTCTAATGATATGTTCTCAATTTTGTTTAGTAGTCAAAGATATTTTGTTCGATATATAACAAACACCAACTCATGGCTAGAAGAATTACTGTCATAGTGTCACTCTTTAAAAATTAAAAATGTTTCGACTCTCAAATGTTAGTATTTGAGATTTGAACATTACACCCCGAAATTAGTAAAAACAAGTGTTTGCTATCAGTGTGCCAATTCATTTTAAGTCAAATTTATACTACAAGTTATAGTGAGTAGTGACCACTAAGCATCTCAATCTCATAACACCTTAATTCCTCATAAAGTTTGAAGCTAATCTCTAGTACTTTCACTAGTTGCAACTACAAGCACTGAAATAGTAGTTTTCATTTCGAGATATATCTCTGATTTCACTAGGTAGACAAAAGATATTGTTTTACATTTGCTTGCACAATATGAAAACACATGCTTGTTTATAAATACGTACCTTGTGTTTTTAAGATATTTTATTAATTTAGTGATGCATACAAGTGCTCAGTTTATTGATTGATTTTCTTTCGCACTTGTATATTGAGTGTCGTATAAGATTTATAATTAACTAATTAAATACACGAATCACCTGAGAATTTCGTTTTCGTCTCATCATTTGTTACTTCATTTTTAGAACTACTGATTTGGCTATGCAGATATATTACTTTATCAGCCACATTTCAATTTTCTTCTGATCTGTCTGTCTTTGTCTTGTGGCCGGCCATGATCATTCAGAAGCTACTTACTGATGGAGAAAATGTTCAAGATCTTCGTCTACCAAGAAGGCGATCCGCCATTGTTCCACGACGGGCCCTGTAAGAGCATCTACTCCATGGAAGGCCTGTTCCTCAGCTTCATCGAAACCGATCACACCAATTTCACAACCAACAATCCCGATGAAGCCCACGTATACTTCCTCCCCTTCAGCGTCGTCAAGATCATCGAGCACCTCTTCCATCCAGTCGTTCGAGACAAAGCCGTCCTCGAGCGCACCGTAGTTGACTACGTCCACATCATATCCGATAAATACCCCTTTTGGAACAGGAGCCTCGGGGCGGACCATTTCATGATCTCCTGCCACGATTGGGTAATGTAACAACACATCGATCACTGTTCATTAACGGATTTGGTACTTTCAGAAACAAAAAAAAAAAGTTCTGAATCACTACTCTGTCTTCAATTTTTTCAGGGGCCACGAGCGACTTGGTATGAAAAGAAACTGTACTACAACTCCATCAGGGTACTCTGCAACGCCAACACGTCGGAACATTTCAACCCGAAAAAAGACGCATCATTTCCAGAAATCAACCTGGTGTCAGGGGAAATTCCTGACAGTACTACTGTCACGTCATCAGGATCTGAGAATCGGACGAATCTCGCGTTCTTCGCTGGCAGGATGCACGGAAAGATCAGGCCGCTGCTCTTCAGGCACTGGAAGGAGAAGGATCCCGACGTCCTGGTGTACGAGACGCTTCCTGAGGGCGTTTCGTACCAGGAAATGATGAGGAAGAGCAGGTTCTGTCTGTGTCCGAGTGGGCACGAAGTTGCGAGCCCCAGGATTCCCGAGGCGATCTACGCAGGCTGCGTCCCGGTGTTGATTTCAAGGAACTACGTGGCTCCTTTTAGTGATGTGCTGAATTGGGAGGCGTTCTCGGTTCAGGTTTCGGTGGAAGGGATCGAGGACCTGAAGGAGATCCTGATGGGGATTCCTGAAGGGAGGTATTTGGAATTGGTGAGGAATGTGGAGCAGGTGAGGAGGCATTTTGAGGTGAATGATCCTCCCAGGAGATTTGATGTGTTTCATATGATTCTGCATTCTGTCTGGTTGAGAAGGCTGAATTTCAGAATCCCCAGTTGAAGAGAGGGAAACAAGATGCAAATTATATCTTACTGACAGAGTGTAGTTGAACAGCTTATTACAGGATGAACTTACAAATAGAAAGCCATCACAAAATCACATTATATATTTCCTTGGAGTAGGGTCAGCACTTCAAGTCAAACCTAAGATTTGCTCTGGATTGAGTCAACAACTTTTTATATAGCTTAATTGGTGTATCACACGTGGTCAACAGGTTTTGTCAAAAACAAAACCACCTGGTCAACCGAGCAGTAGATGGTAGTCGGTCCAATCTCACAGATCTTGGGCTCTTACTCATACGGGCTATACTAATGAGCCTAAATTGGGCCCATTAATATTCGTGGCTAATCATGGACTCAAACAGATGCTCCACAGAGCCCGTTCCGCGACTCATGCTATGACTACGGGGTCGTTTGGATGGATCAATTGTAAAAAGAGACAATTTGACCAATTGTTTCATTTTACAAAACGAGTCATTTAAAACGAGTCAATTCAGATTACCTGCCCCCACCCCAGACAATTGTAATTGACTCAAAATGAGTCAATTCCGAATTCCCCAGCCCAAATTGCTTCATCCAAATTTTCTGCTGCCAAACGGATCAATCTAGCACAATTGACTCAAAACGAGGCAATTGTGTCAGATTGATCCATTAGAATTCCTCATCCAAACGACCCCTACGAGATTTCTGAAGGCAGAGGGGTGAACAAAATGGATGAGTTAGGATGATTACTAATTTTTTAGTAGTCATTGTGGCTACTAATATCTCTACCTTCTATTTTCACTATTTTTAAACGGATGGTCATGATTAATTAGGGTTAGTTGGGGCAAAAATTAAATAACCACATATAATTACTATCGTTACTTTTTATATATTCTCCATAAAACCTAAATAATTAATCTCAATTCTGCGACCCAACCGTTTCAGTTTCCATTCCGCTCGTCGCACCACCGGAGATTCTCTCCACCGCCGTGGTCCCCAATTTCCATGAAATTATTCCATCTTTCCCTTTTCGTTAAATTCAGTTTGCAGACGTGTGATATCTTTATTTCTGTTGAAGTCAATTCATTTGGCTCCAATTTTTGGTAAGGAGCCAACTGCCAAGAGCGACAAAGTGAAGAAGCCCGCTTCCTCTGGTCTCGTCGGAGAGATTGATTTGCTCATAGTCGGTCTCGGAGTATTGGGTGGCTTAGGTAATTTTTTCGTATGGGGAACTCAACTAGAGAAGACGACGTCTGGTTTTTTATTGGTATTTACTTTTTTGCATTGGTAGTGTTTTTTTCGTAATGATAGTGTTTTTTTGCATTGGTATTCTTTTTTCACATATTGATTATCATGTCATAGTATTGTTTTAATATGCAATGGTAGTTGTTGATAAGTGGTAGTGGTAGTGTTTCATGTAGGCTGTAGTGGTAGTTGTTAATGTTTTGGTATTGGTTTCTTGTTTTTTCTTCTGCAATGGTATTGATTTTTTGTGAAATGATGTAGATTTATATCGATAGATTGTTTATATTGGTAGTTTTCGTGTAATGGTATAGATTTACTTCTGCAATAGTATTGATATTTTTCAAAGTGGCAGTGGTTGTCTAATGGATTGGTAGTGATTTCGTGTTGTTTTTTTTTTTTGCAGATAGATTGAGAAAAATAAGGAAGGGGATCTGGCTGGAGATTACGAAAGTGAGAGAAAGAGAGAGAATTGTAATTAATAGATTTTTTTAACTACCTAAAATGAAATTTATTAAAAAAATTAATTAGTACAATTTATTTTTTCATACCCAATTTACCCCTGATAACCATGGTGATTACTAAAAAACAACCTGCAAATTGATCCACCCGCGTCCATTGCACGAGTGAAGTTGTCTGTCAAAATATTATAGAGCATACGGAATGATATTTGGTTGGAGTATGATGCAATATTGTCTGACAATACTAAATCATTACATTATAATGATCCGCGCGGTCTCGACAATTCAATTTATGATCGATAAAGTATTAAGACAAAAACTAATTCATAATAAGGTTCGTTAGTATTCAAACACAACACACCTCAACTCTGATATGTTATAATAAAAAACCAGTTCCTCTTAATATTATTCATTTACCATTAAAACCTCAAACTTCTAGCAGGAGACATGGCGGGAGATGTTAGAAACCGAACAGAAAATTTAGGGTTACCGATCTGGCTGAGTCGCAGACAAGGTTGCTCTCTTTACGACGTTCGTGGCATTGCCTCGTATTGCGCACAACAGACTATTATCCGGTCACCTCCAAGATAAAACAGCCACTCTTTTGATTTGCTCAGCGGTTTAGTGCGAAAACCGAAGCTCTATGAACTCACTATCTTTCTTGTGTTTCTGCTCTCTGAGGTGTGTTTAGAGGGTCTGGGGCGTCTCCTATTTATAGGAGCAGAAAACCCAGAATATTCCATCTTTCTTTGGGAATAAGTCACATTTTAATTAGGGAGATAATTACTCCCATAATTAAATATAATCTATTAAGATAACTATTCCTAATTATCTCCATAATATTCCTTTTATTAATTATCCATTTTAATTTCGTATTATGGGGAAAATACTGGATAATTAATTAGGAATTTCATTATAGCTTTTCAAAGCTATTCATCCCAACAACCCCCACTTGAATAGTTTTGAAACTATCTCTGAGCATCAATAGTTCCATAAGATCGGGCATAAGCTAAGGTATCGCGAAGATTTGAACCTTAGAGTAGTGGTTACATTTCCGATTTCATAAGGGTGACTCGTAGTCTTGAACCCTATCTCAGACAATGTAGCACACCAGATCTTTTCATTGAGTGATATTCTCTCATAGGCCGTGCGTTTATGGCCATGCACGTTATCCCGGTTTAGTGATTGCTCTAGCAACATTGTGCCTCCAAAGTTCCATAGGGAGCGGCCCCACTCCCACATTCACATAGGTGAGTCTATCAGAAGTACCCCCAAAGTAAAGTACTTCACTCCACATAGAGTATAGATCTCATTAAAAGTTTTAACTCAACCTCCAAGGCTTTGGGATTCATGCTTCACTATGCATGAACTTTTCTCTATATTACTCATGACTTGTTATTACCCATTGAACCCGTTTCTTGGGATCTCCAGTCTATCGGGTCGGGTTACCATAATTTGTAATCCATGATTCGGTAGGCATAAGTCTCATACCCTTGGCGGTATTTTGAACTTTCTCTCTAGATAATCCTTTCGTCAAAGGATCAGCTAGATTCTGTTAGGATCTTACAGGATCCACCCTCATTGCTCCTACGTTAGGAGTTCTCTTACAGTACTGTGCTTACGACGAATTTGTCGTCTCTTTCGTTCTAGAACCGGTTCCCTTCTTTAGTAATTGCTGCGGTGCTATCACAATAAATCAACTACCGGAGGGATCGGTCTTTCCCATAATGGAATCTCTATAATGACCCTCTCAATCAACTTCCTCTTTACTAGCCATTGCTAGTTTCATCATTTCTGATTCTTTAGTTGATTGAGCCAGGATCGTTTACTTCTTAGACTTTCAAGACACAACTCTCTCAGCGATGTTTAAAACATGCCCACTGGATGCCTTGGAGTCTTCTATAGGGTATTTTTGTCCGCATCAATATACCCTACCAATACAGCCAAAAATCGTTGATAACTTATATCAAGGTCTACTGTTCTTAAGGTGTCTCAGAAACCGTTGATAACTTATTTCAATGCTTCATACTAGGACAATCAATAAGCCTGCCAAGTACCTCCACTAAATCAGGTCTCATGTTTATCAGCTGCCTCTCGCAGACTGTAAATGCTAGTATATTCTAACTTTTTTTTTACACCGTCTTAGGTGTTCTTTAAATATAGCATCATCAAACATGTATGCAGGTGTACATCTTGTATTTTCCTAGTTATTAGGATCTCTAAGCATAACATTTGTTTCAATAAGATCCTTCACATTCAAAATTTTCAACCATCATGGTTTTTCAATATTGACATCACGAGTCTTTGTACCCAAAGATCGACGTGTCATTCATAATTCAAGTGTCATTCTCAAATTTGTACTAAATGCACTTGTCACATTCACTTTTAAAACCATGAGAGAGAATCTGATTATTCATGACACTAATTATGAGTCTATTTCAAACCATATAATGATTTGTCTAACCATAGACTCTAGAAGCATGTTCTAGAATAACAACCTTTAAGATTATCCTAATGTAGATTTCTTTATTCAAATCACCATTCAAAAAAGTATTTTTAACATCCATGTGATGGATGTTATTCTACATATTGGTGAATAGATATTAAAGAAATCTACAATTTTTCCTCTTCACCTAAAGCCTTAGCTACTAGGCGATCATTATACTCATAAACTAAACCATCAGGTTTCAGTTTTCCTTTTAGGAATCCATTTATTACCTTGGCTTCATTGCCTGGAGGTAATTCTCAAAGATGCCAAATCTTGTTCGGTTCCTCCGATATATTACCCAAGGTTTTATAACCAAGAGGCAACTCTACAAGATTCTAAGTTTTATTAGACTCCACAAATTCCATTTCGTTAATAATGGATTCTCCCACAAATATGCATCTTTATGGAAGTTCGAAGTTCTAGCAGACTTATAGGATCTCTTCTTTAGGGTGTAAATATAACAAATTCATAACCAAAATATTTTGGTGATTTATGGTTCATTTGTCTCTTCCGAGTTCATGCCCAGATTCATCACCCCCACTAGTTATCCATTATTGCTAATAGCAGGCAAGATATCACCCCCACTAGTTATCGATTTAAATGGAATAGCATCAATGGATTCTACATAACAGTGTGTATTTCATTTTATAAGTTTATGTGTTCTACTATTGATGGCACAATCAATAAAACACTCTCATGAATAATGCTTTAAATTAAAAGCATCACATCATATTCCAAACTGTCGTTTAACCCATTTCAAAATGAATCCAATACAAAGATTTAGATTCTCTAATCATATACTTATGGATCTTTTAGTTTGTCTATTTATCACAAACAATTATGAGAATGCAACTCTATCTTTTAACTCTTCATAATATACGTAAAAGATGTGCATGCCAGACACAAAAGAATTTAACCCTTAATCATCATATGCATACTCACATGACCATCCAACAACTATTCTTCAGAGTTACCATTAAGGTCAAACTCTATTCTTTTCACACTCATCTCAGCCTCCAATCCTCCTCTTCAATCAAGTTAACACTTGAACAAGTGTTATCCTTATTCCTTCA